CTATGAAAAAAATATTACGAAAATATATAACTTGCTTAAGCAAATTGCTGGAACTTTTGGTACCGTAACGAAATTTTCAAGAAATATTAAAAGTTTTTATGTAGATTATTATAAATACTGTAACATTGTCTAATATTTATAAGATTTATATAGACCAATTACGAAGTTAAAATTATTTATTTAAAGTATAGAAGTGTGCTCCCAAACTTTAGCCAGAATTAAAATTAAAGTCTAAACTATTTTCGAAAACATTATTTTTGAAAACAAAAAGAAATTGTTTTTTTTTTTTATTTCTTATAACCAATCTGAACCTTGGCTTCAATGAGGTTATTTGCTGACGGATACAGGGCTTAGTGGGGAATTTTTTTACATAAATATATTGATTGTTAATTTATTAAATCTTGCGGCCACTTTCTTTTTAATCTTCTCATAGAAACTTGTTTTAGCAGGTCTTTTATTAGAGTATTTGGATGGTATGCGCTTTTTTGATGATATTGAAAGAAAAAAATGAAATAATTTTTTTAGAGCAATTGTTTGTCAACGCAAGCAGAAAGTTTTTTTAATCATTCAAATCGAATGCTTAATTCTCTCAAAAACTGCCATTATTTGTACATTTAGCTCTGTATCTTCAAAGTGGCTGGACCTGCCTTTGCCAAAAACTAATCAGCACATCTCTCTATCAATCGCATATTTTTTTGAACCATTCAAATCGATTGATCCGTGCACATACATATCCACTTTTGAGGTATGCCAAAATGTTTAGAAACCTCTGGAACGTGAACTCTTACTATAACTTACCCTACGGGAAGTTAATTATATTGGAAATTATTTATTTTACGTCAATTGTTAATAACGCAGTTCAACTTAATATTTTTTCAAGGTACCTCTAATCATAAAAATATGAATAGTTTAATTGCTTTGTAAACACTTAATGATTGATCATATAACATAATCAAATATAAATGTGTCATACATTTATTAAATATTTGTGGCAAGACTGAGGTGGAAAATATACTCTAGAGATATTAAATACGTTTTAAGTATTTAATGCTTATATTTATTATTATAAATGATGTTTAAAATTATTATATTAGAACTTTTTGTAATCAAAACAAATATATGTAGAAATGCAGATAAACATAGTTTATTTCTCAATATTATTACATATAATATTCATGTGATGTATTAATTTAGAGGAGTCAATCTGAATCTCATTGGTCCAGTTGGACCCAAAATCAAACTACTCTTATACTGCATATCTGGACCATTCCAATCGATTTGGTAATTAGTTATCAATCGGGTAACCAGAACCTCCATTTCTAGTTCGGCAAATCTTCTGCCAACACACATACGAGGTCCAAATCCAAATGGCATGTAGGCAAATTTATGGGCACTTTTTGCCGGAGGAACCGAACCTGGACTAGTACGCAACCAGCGCTCTGGTATATATTTATCAGGATCAGGAAATTGATTTTTGACTCTGGCTGCTACGTGATGACTCAGACGAAGATAGGTCTGAAAAATATTTTGAGAAAAATACATAATTGAAAACTTTTTATAACATATTTTGGTCTGGGATTAGTAGAAGTTTGCTTGAAAGCATGGTGGAAAATGAAGAAATATTTTGAAATAACACAGAAATTATTTTATATTAATACTGTACTTTTAAATTTTTACTCCATTCACCTTTTGAAGTCGTTTTTTTTCTATTGTTGGCACCACTAATATATTAACGACGTCGATGGATTTTTTTTAACTTACCCTTTCGGAATAAAATATCCCCCAAGAGTGATATCAGCTCCTGCAAGGCGCATATTACCAATAGCAACTGGTTTCATTCTGTGAGTTTCCTTGAAGCAAGCCTTAAGATACGATGAACTATTTAATCCTTCTGCTGTAATAGGAGAATTATTTGGAAATATCGCCCTTAATTCACTTCTCAGTTTATTCTGTTTATCGGGATTTTTTGCTAAAAAATACATTGCACTTATTGTGCTTGAAGCAGTCTGAAGAAATTATTGGCAATTATTATAATTTTTCAATTTGGAGGTATGATTTTATACTAACCGTATCAACACCAGCAAAAAACATATCTAAAGCCATAACAAAGGCAACTTGCGGATCTATTTTTAATAAATGCTCCAAAACGCTTAAATTACTATCATCAGTTGTTGGATTTGCTTCTAGCCTTTTGATTGCTTGTGATATATGTTTGACAGCGATGCTGAAAATATTAATCAAATCTACATTTAGTTTACTGTTACAATTAAAAATATTCTCTTTGAATATAGGATAATATGCATATATTTTTATATTAGTAACATTTGTTTAGTTTTATTTCATTAGCATACTCACTCTGTAAGCAATCAAAAATTTGTATAATTTCATTATATTTTGGGGTGTTTATGTATCTCCAAAATGATGGCAATATTTCAATCTGGTATGCCAAGTCAAAATATCGTTGTATTGATTTGATTAGCCTCATGCCATCTGAATCTTCAGTGAGATTGTCATCAAGACAACCAAGCCTAGTGTCCACTGCTATTCGGGCTATTGACTCCAAAGACCACCTATCTACTTCTCTTAGGAAGTTTTGGGGTACATTGCCTTCTGCATCGAGTAAAGTTTGCAACCTTCAAAATTAGAAATATATATAGTAAAAATAGTAAAAATATATTTGAATTTTTTGTGAAACGATTTTTAAAGTTTCACAGTCTCTAAATAAATTTTCTCACCTTTTAATGAAATCATTAGCTATTTCTTCAATCCAGCCGACGTATTGTCGTGTTACTTTAATTTGCATCATCGGTTGATTTACTTTCGTCCGGATATTTTGCCAATCTTCTCCATGGCTACCAAAAATAATAATAATCAGAATATATATAGAAAGAAAAATTAAATGGTCAAACTTTACGAGTGAAGAAGTCCATATACTGATTTAAAAATTTCCGGTCTTTTCTTCTTTATGTAATGGTCACGTGTTTCGAGACCTGGACGAACTGGCCAAGTTCCTTCAGTGCGATAAACCTGATATGATTTTAATATAATTAAGAAATGATTTTGTATGTTATGTAAAATTATTTCTAAACTATAAATTACTTTACTTCACTTATTTAAATTAGTTTAAAAGAATTAATTCCAGTAAAGATACTCAAGTTGGTTTGCTTAGGTATAGAACATGCATGTTGCTTAATTTAATTAAAGAAATGATAAAGTGCAGCCTGCTTGTGTCAGATTTTCAAATTAAATAGGTTTTGACTTACTTTTTCTATATCATCCAAGTCATATAAGAAAACCATATCTCTTTTCCCTGGGATTCCTTTTAATTTGACAATATCACCATATTCTTCGTATAATTTTAATCCCAAGTCAATCATGCTTAAACCATTTAAGTTACCTGAACCGACGTCAATAAATTAAATTAAATTAGATTAAATAACGAAATTATTACACATACTTGAAAATGGTAAAATTAAGTTTTTTCCTAGTCTCAGTACCTACTGCAAAATTTGTCGAAACTTAATCAAATTTAAAAATATTGGTAAAAAATATAAAATAATAACGTTGCCTATAAATTGAAGGCTTATAGCCTTGACATTTAAATTTCTGTAAAATTCATCAAAATTTGTCTGACATGTATTGCCAATAATATTGTAGTTTAATAAATTATATTACAACTAAGTTTCTTTGTGAATCTTTCTTTATGGTTCTAAAAAATATTAAAAATTGGCAATTTGCAATCACGAAAAAAAAGTTATAAAACTATACCTTTCAAAATATTGTTTTATAATTGGACTCAAATTTTATTTGATTAATATTGATTATTATTATAATGCTTATTAATTGGAACGCTGTGTATAACTATACTTGTTCGATGGTATAAATAATAATTAATTAATAAATTTGAAGATAATCTGAAAATTTATTGCTGTCTACAAATTGTTTTTATAATATATGTATCACTACTTGCCGCCAGGAAGAAAATGATGAAGTGTTCCAATGATAGGTAAAGCCGAAGGTCCAGGTATCTTATTATATGATAATGCCGATACCTCAGAGACAATTTGTCGCTATTACAAAATATATCATTAAATATAAAACTGTATTTGAAAATTTTATACTTAATTGAAACTATAAATTAACATAAATAGAAAACAACAATAATAAATTTTAGCTTACCTTGATATAGCTCGTCGAAAATTTTCTGTGATTTATCTTAGTAAATAGTAGTCGAATTTCTTTATGCATATTAAATATTATATATTTAAAGATCACTATTTTTATTACTACTATTTTTTTTATTAACTAATCTAAAATTTATGCACTTCAAATATTGAAATAAACACTGAAATGACTACACCTGTCAAGTCGCAAAACGTGATATGCTCAATTGAGATAAATTGCTTATCGTAAATTAACATTCATATAATGCGGACATGTCATCTTTGAAGGTAATATTTTTTATATTATGAGAAACATCGTGTGACATAACCAGTTTATGTTTCGATCTAATATTTACACCGAATTCTCGTATGAGCTTATTGTTGGTTATGAATATCAATGATTATAAATACACCACAAATAAAATCTTCAAATATGACATGATCGGTTTGTCATTGTAATTAGCGAAATGAACCTTCATTAGAGAAATGAAGTAATTCCTGATTAACTAACTTCTATAATATTCGTTCACACAGTGGATTATGTTAAACAACGCCTAAACAAATATTGTTTTTGCATCTTCACTCATTATGTAATTGTGTTTCAAGAACTTCAGGTAATTAAAATTAACATACATTTATTGACCGCTTGTATTTTTTTTACTTTTTTGCTGGCGATATAATCCCATTCTTGGCTGTAATATCGATCTTGCCTAAAAAAATAATTTTCATTTTAATAACTTCAAAGATTTATAGAAACTACGAATAATATAGAAATAATTTCTAATCCAGCTTCTGATTCAGGTAAATCAAGATTTGTTTTGTACTACGATGTAAGTATGAAATGTTTGTTTATCTATACTTGGTATCGGTATGCATACAACGTTGATGCCGGTACGCATACAACGACGGATCTCTATTCACATACACGACGGCTAATCACAATCGACCCGCATCGAAATAATCTCATCGATAGCGAATAACGAACAGTTCGGGCGTGACGGACATCCGTTGCATTTGTACGGATTTGCACCCTAGTCGCGCCTAAAAAAGTTTTACTTCAAAAACATTTTTGTTTTAAAATTTATTACATACATTATTCTCATTTACATGATTGTTTATTTTATGGATGTCAATCTGAATCTCATTGGTCCAGTTGGACCTAAGATCAAACTACTCTTATACTGCATATCTGGACCATTCCAATCGACTTGGTAATTAGTTATCAACCGGGTAACCAGAACCTCCATTTCTAGTTCGGCAAATCTTCTGCCAACACACATACGAGGTCCAAATCCAAATGGCATGTAGGCAAATTTGTGGGCACTTTTTGCCGGAGGAACCGAACCAGGATCAGTACGCAACCAGCGCTCTGGCAAATATTTATCAGAATCAGGAAATTGATTTTTGACTTTGGCTGCCAAATGGTGATATAGCATAACATAGGTCTGAAAAAATATAAAAAAAGTTATAGTCAAAGATTTTTTATAACAATACTAATCTCAGTTGGATCAACTTAAGGTGCAAAAAAGTCAGAGCATGAAGAAGTACGTTTAAAATAATCAAATTTTAGTCCTATATTTTCAAGAGGTTACCAGTTAATTGACCAAATAAATGACATATTTCTCAAGTTTCTGTCAAAATTTTCAACTTACCCCTTTCGGAATAAAATATCCACCAAGAACTATATCAGTCCCTGCATGACGCATATTGCCAACAGCAACTGGTTTCAATCTGTGAGTTTCCTTGAAGCAAGCCTTAAGATACGATGAACTATTTAATCCTTCTGCTGTAATAGGAGCATTATTTGGAAATATCGCTCTTAGTTCACTTCTGAGTTTATTCTGTTTTTCTGGATTTTTTGCTAAGAAATACAAGGCACTTATTGTGCTTGAAGCAGTCTGGAAAATAACATTGACAAATATAATATTGTTTGCGGTTTTATAATACAGCATTATACTAACCGTATCAACACCAGCAAAAAACATATCCAAAGCCATGACTAAAGCAACTTGTGGGTCTATTTTTAATAGTTTCTCTAAAACGCTTAAATTGCTTTCATTAGTTGTTGGATTTGATTCTAACCTTTTAATGGCTTTCGATACATGTTTGATTGCAATGCTAAAATATAATCAAAGGTTTCTGAATATTTTGGCATACCTTACAATTAGAAAAAATGGATGTAGGTGTGTGTGTGTATGGGTGTGTGAGGATACAAATTTTTGTCGACGATTTCGGGAACACCGATCAACTGATTTGAATAATTCAAAAAACATTTGATTCGTATTAATAAGGAGTTGATTAGTTTCTGGCGAAGGCAAATTTAGTCGTTCCGAAGATACGGGGCAAAATGTGCCAAAAACGGTAACTCAGTTTTCAAGACTACGGACCGTCCGATTTTAATAATTAAAAAAACATTCTACTTGTATTGACAAGATGAAAACTGATTAAATTTTTAGGAAGTCAGGTCCAGCGGTTATGGACTCTCAATAAAAATAAGTTAAAAAAATGTTATCTGTCGGTCAAAAATGTTTATTGTTTATTGGACACATAAACATTTTTGTTAAATTATCAGATATTTTTTAGAGAGATTAATAATGTGTACACATTTTGTGTAAATTTTATTGGGTTCCGTACTAAGATTTTTAATTGCAGGACGGTAAGTTCCAGCAATTTGGCTTAAAGCACGATGCCATGCACCTCACTAGTTAAACATCTTTATTAATTATATTTTCTTATAGCAATCTCATCTTAGTATGACATCTTCTGAAAATAGTTTTAATCTAAGTTTCAGACTGCTTCTAATTATTTAAACAAAAATATTTCTACAGTTTTTATTATGCACAATTATGTTTAATGAATAGACAAAAATTGAATATGCCTTGCAATAAAGCTACTATAAAATTTATCTAATAATTAATTTGATGGAGATTTTGTTGTTTATTACTATAGATTATTATTGATAATTAATAACTGTTTCAAAAAGCCACTTACTCTGTAAAGCAATCAAAAATTTGCATCATTTCTTTATATTTTGGTGTATTAATATATCTCCAAAATGATGGCAATATTTCAATCTCGTATGCCAAGTCAAAGAATCGTTGTAATGTTTTTGATAAGTTTCATGCCATCAGAATCTTCGGCGAGATTGTCATCAAGGCAACCAAGCCTAGTGTCCACTGCTATTCGGGCTATTGACTCCAAAGACCACCTATCTACCTCTGTCAGGAAGTTTTGTGGTACATTGCCTTCTGCATCGAGTAATGTTTGCAACCTATAAAATTAAAGATTTATATAATAATTTTACAAATATTTATCAACTCACTCACCTTTTAATAAAATCGTTAGCTATTTCCTCGATCCAGCCGACGTATTGTCGTGTTACTTTAATTTGCATCATCGGTTGATTTACTTTTGTCCGGATATTTTGCCATTCCTCTCCATGACTACCAAAAATTTACAGAATACACATTGTAGAAACCAAAATTGAATGGGCAATTTTTGCTAACTTACGAGTGAAGAAGACCATAAACTGACTTAAAAATTTCTGGTCTTTTTTCCTTTATGTAATGTTCACGCGTTTCAAGACCCGGACGAACTGGCCAACTACCTTCAGTACGATAAACCTGATGTAATTTTCATATAATTAAGTACCTATATTAGTAAGCATGATACTATAATTTACACTATTAAAACATCAATGTACGTAGTACAATGTAGTAATAATCCTTAAGGAAAATTACATTTTGATATTGATGTGAATAAAATCATTCGTTACTGCAATCGAACAAAAAATTTCGGGTATTAAATTAAATGAGTAGTTCAAGTATTCATGCAAGTTATTTCTCATCATTTTTTTATATTGATTATTTAAAATTTAATCAACAAGAAATTTGGAAAAGGCTTTATAAGATCTAAAAATTAAATGCATCGGTAACTTTGAAGTTTAATGCGCCGATTCTCCCGCACAACAGAAAAATGTTATGGCAAGGCCATGTTACGCTGCCACTGCATTATGCTACTAAATCATACTGAAAACTGTCAAAATGATATGTATTTACTGTGCATTCAGGCGTTTTACACATAAACTTCAACAGCACTTGCATGTTATGGCAGGGTCAGAAAGACTCTGTTATCTAAAATCATTTTTTTGACATCGGTGCTATTTTTAGGTTAGGTTTTCTATATGCCAACCTGAGAAAAACGCCTCATTGCACAGAATCGACATGGCTTTTGTCAATATTTAGTATAGAATAGAAAGTTCTTCAGAACTTAGCCTTGCTATAATATTGGTCTATTGTGCTTGAGAATCGGTCCATAAGATATATATATATATATATATATATATATATATATATATATATATATACTATAATATATGAGGTTTTTTCATTTGATGTCGCATTTCTTTATAGTATTAATTTAGATAGGTAATATAGATAGATTAATCAACTTCAAACATAGTTTTATGACAAAAATGAACGAAGTAACTTTTATTGAAGGCTTTTAATATAATGAATCAAATTATAAAGTTCCAGGAATCTAGTAGGCAGAACCACCTAAGATCAGCCTTAACTTGAATCTTTTCTTTATTAGTTACGTCAACATTAATAAATATTAGTTTACAATTATATCTAAAAACATTTAGGCTCACTTTTTCGATGGCGTCTAAGTCGTACACAAAGACCATGTCCTCTTTTCCTGGCATTCCTTTTAATTTGACAATATCACCATAATCTTCATATAATTTTAGGCCCAAGTCGAGCATATTTAAACCACTTAATTTACCTAAAAGGTTATCATTAAAAGAGTGAAAAAATAGATTTTTCTTAAAATAAAGTCCTATGGAATTATTAAAAATACTTGATACTTGTGAAACTTTATAGAAACACCATAGTGTAAAATAATTGTAATAATTAGCTTTCGCAAAAATTATAATTACTCAGATTTAAACTTTGTCAGTATGCCTGTTTTATACGCCTTTACTCATTACAAAAGTAATCAATTTTATTATATGTATTCTTAAAATTTTACTTGCACTAATTGTTACTTAAAATATTATGTGCCACTTGCCGCCAGGAAGAAAATGATGAAGTGTTCCAATGATCGGTAAAGCCGATGGTCCAGGTATCTTATCATATGATAATGCCGATACTTCAGAGACAATTTGTCGCTATTGTAAAATGTATAATAACATATTTAAAAACTTCACATATAATTGCCAGTATACATTGAAATAACAATTACAAATATTAGCTTACTTTGACATAGCCCGTCGAAAATTTTCTGTTATTTATCCTGGTGATTAGTAATCGAATTCCTTTATGCATATTTAATTTTTGGTATTTATTGGTCACTATTTTTTTCACACTAAATTTATTTAGAAACTATTTTGTGACTCTATGCACTTTCAATATGGGAATGAATACTCCAATGAACACTTCTCTTAAAGAGCATATAAAATAGTGATAATACTCAATTGAGATAAATGGGAAGATATTAGCATTTATATTATGCGGACCTATTATTTTTGAAGGTGACTTTTTTATTTTCTAATAAACATTGCATAAAAAACCGATCTATGTTTTGATTTGATATTTGTACCTCATTGGTTCATTTTGGGGGTTTATATGTATATTTAAATTATAGTGTATATATAAATATATCTATTTTTTATATAATTTTATTATGATCCACATTTTTTTTTCTTATATTATGAATTTCAAATTATGTGACTATTATATTATATAATCTGATTAACCTAAAATTTTCAAAATAGTGCAACGTTTCATTATAATAAATCATATAATGTTATATATATGCATTAAGTATAAATATGGAAATATCATAATTTCATGCTTGTTTCTTCGAGAATATTAATACCGTAATAATGCAAATAGAGAAACATTAGTATATATTAGTAGAATTTTAATAATTATTGATATTAATTAACCATATAATACATATACATTCATCCAATTTCAAGAAAATAATATTATCACATTATGAAAACAAATCTTCCCAGTGGCTGCATTTTTTATATATTTAATAATGTTATCTGTATATCGTAATTTATTTATTTTAGAAAATTTAAAATAAAAAAATTTATTGGCCTATCGAATGTAATATAAAAATGCATATCAGATTGGAATGAATGATTATAATTTCAACAATTATTATAATTATCTCACAAATAAACAAGAAGAAAAATAATAGCAACCAAAAAATTAAAAACAGGGTACTGACTAGGTGTCTTACATTTTAATATATACAATGCGTTAATTTAAATTATTAAAAATATCTCATTATAATTTAATTAGTCGGCGTAAATTTAAATCTCATCGCTCCTGTTGGAGCAGTAAGCATCGTAGTCCTATATTCCATGTCAGGTCCAGACCATTCAATATGATAGTTTGTTACCAATTTTGCTATCAAAATTTCCATTTCGAGTTCTGCAAATCTTTTTCCAACACACATTCGTGGCCCGAAGCCAAAAGGCAAATATGCGAATTTGTGCGCACATTTAGCATCCGGAACTGAATCCGGCCCTGAACGGAGCCAACGCTCCGGCAGAAATTTGTCTTTATCGGGAAACTGGTTTTTCAGAACTGCTGCCAAATGGTGGAACATCATGAGTGCAGTCTGGAAAAAATAATAATGTAATATGATAAAATGATATAGTAAATAATATACAATATTAAATCTAATATTGACTATATATTAGTAAAAGGAAGTCAATAAAACATAGAAATTAATATATACTTATTATTACATTTAAATTGTATTATATCTAATATATTATAATAATTATAATAATTATGATAAATAATATTTATGTTACACATATGATCGTATTAAATATAATCAACAAGTTTGGAGTAGGGATAGTAATAGTTAGTTATATTATACTAAAACGATAATGAAAAAGTGGAATCATAAAATTCTTATTCACATGTTATTAATTTAAACTGCATCAAGTTCAATTTTTTTTAAATGTAATTTTCTGTATCTTTGTCGTCTTGATTTTGATTTTCTAAAATATCGCCAAATTTTTATTTTTTACTGTAGCACAATCATTTTTATAATCATCATTATTTTTATTAAAGCTAATACAAAAAATTGAAGATCAATAGCAATTAATATAAAAATGACGAAAACGATCTACTTTAAAAATTCCATGCGAACAAAATTGCACGTACATCCAGTTATTAATAATCTTAAGATATTTACATAATATTCATTTAAAAAAAACATTGACCGATCTTTTGGGAGTTCTTACAATAGAGACGTGTCAACCCGGACGCCAAACGCAGCCGGGTCATTGCCGTCGCATGTTCAAAAGAACCAGGACAGTTTTATGTTATTCGATTAACGCTTGTGATTGTATCTTTCCAATCTAGTTATATTTATGAATATACTTACACCTTTTGGAATATTATATCCGCCTAGAACCATATCTTCAGCGGCTAACCGTCCATTAGCTACGGCGACAGGTTTAATTCTTAATGATTCCTTGATACATGCTTTTAGGTAAGGCGAATCATTCAAACCTTCCGATGTTATTTGAGTGCCTTTAGGGAAAACTTTGTTTAATTCTTCCCTTAAACGTTTTTGTGCTTCAGGATTCTTTGCCAAATTGTATAATGTAGTGACAGTACTGGATGAGGTCTGTGGAAAAAAAAGCTATAGCTATGAGGTTTAAATAATTTAGTTTCGATATATTTAATTAATTAATTTTGAAGTTAATAAATAAATCAATAGTGATAGCAAATTGAATTTTATTATTGTTCATATGTATATGCATGTTAAGATTTATACTTCCGAAATGAATTATTGTCCTTCGCTTATTAAAAATAAATATAACATAAAATACACGTAGAAGTAATTTTATAGAACTGAGAGATGTCACTACGTTCAAGCGTTTTCTAGTTTTTATTCTAGACATAATCTTATTATATATGTATGTAATTATATTCAAAGAAGAATTATGCAATCTAAGCAATCAAGTGATATTAAATTAATTGGGTACTAAATAATTCTTATAAAGCAAAATATCTACTGTGATTTATATCTTTTACTTACAGTATCAATTCCAGCAAAGAACATATCTAATGCCATAATTATAGCAACTTGGTAATCAATTTTTAGCAGTTTTTCTAAAATACTTAAATTGCTATCATCTGATGTTGGATTTGTTTCTAAGCGTTTCACTGCAGCTGATATATGTTTAACAGCCACACTGGAAAAAATATATATAAATAACTACTACATATATGTATAAACAAAATTCTAGGAATGCGTTATTAAATGTGGATCAGTAATAAGATTATGTCTTTTATACATTAATGTTCATACAATTTTTTGTTTCCCACTTACTCTGTGAAAACATCGTAAATTTCAATCAATTCCTTATATTTTGGTGTTGGTTCGAGTTTCCAATTTGATGGCAATAAATCAGTTTCATAGGCGAGTTCGAAAAACTTCGGCATAGATCTGATTAACTTTATTCCATCAGATTCTTCTGGAAGATCAGCATCGAGGCAACCCAAACGTGAATCAATAGCAATTCGAGCAATTGATTCAAGAGACCATTTATTGACTTCAGTCATAAAATCTTCTGATGCATTGCCTTTTTCATCAAGTCCAAACAACATCAATCTATAAAGATTAATATCAATTATTTAATGTATTTATAAGTGCTCGTGAAAGGATATCTATTCAAATTTTCTATAATTACCCTAGATCCTATTTATAATATAATTTACTAGATATGATAAATTCTTAAGTTGTACATTTGACCTCGTATTAATTGAAAACTTCTCCATTTACTCAAGTATAAATTACAATAAAACAAATTAATAGTGCTTTCCTTAATACTTTAACTTGTTGTTTTCTTTTTGTTTAATCAACGATTCAACAATTAAATTTATATGAATCAATGTTTTTTTTTCAGTTTTACCTGGTAATAAAATCGTCAGCAATTTCTTCGATCCATCCAACATATTGCTTCGTAATTTTTGTTTGCATCATTGGTTGATTCACTTTGGATCGAATATCTTGCCAATCTTTACCTTGCCTTCAATAAGTACAATTAAAAGTTTTTAAATTGAAAAAAGTTGAAAAATATTTGCAATAATTAATAAGATACCGTACGCATGAAAAAGTCCAACGATATTCTTGAATAATTCTGGCCTTTTTTCTCTTAAATAATGTTCTCTGGTCTCTATATTGGGTCTCGACGGCCAAGGTCCTTCAGTTCTATAAACCTATAAAAACGGTATCATAATAATGATGAAGTAAAAAAAATCTATTTATGTAGAATTGTTTATATTTATTTTTTTTATTAAATGTATATGTAAAAATTTTTTTTTCAATATTTAGAATTTGTCTTAAAACAAATTTTTATATTTAAATTATTTCGTATGGTAGTATTATTTTTTTTAATATTATTTGAAAACGTTTTGAAACATTTCTACAATTAAAATACAAAAATTATTGACATATCAACCTTTTCCATATCGTCAAAGTTGTAAAGAAACACCATATCATATTTTCCGGGAACGCCTTTAACGCTTACAATGTCTCCAAAATCTTCGTATAATTTCACTGACAGTTTGTCCAAATCCATTCCATGGTACTGCCCTGAAAGTAATGTTAACTTAGAGTAATATCTATTGAACAGTTTACAAAGTTTCAAATTTGAAAAGGTTCCGGAATTTTGACTTGATTTCGACAGTAAATAAGTGGTTAGAGCGATGGAATTTGAATTAAAGGTCTCAGAATCGACACTCCATTTAAGCAGCACGATGACTAATAGTAGTGTCAGAGATTTTTACTTGTAAATTTACATAAAAGAGTCCAATATGTCCATGGCAATATGTTTCCAAATGAAAAGAGTCTTTACCCAGATTTGCTGCATCAATAAAATATTATTATTCCTGAATAAAATTTATTAGTCACAGATAAAATAAGTCTAAAACTTGAGAGAAAACTTATTGTTAGTTTCTATTTATAAAGAAACGGCATGACCGATTGCCTTGAATCATGTATGTAAGACAAAAGACAAATTTTGCTTTACATATCCACACATAATTTTTCTAATCTCAATCTGAAAAGATTCAGAATGACTGAAAACGCCAAGAAAGCATCAAACCACAAGCTTCTTCTTCTGGAAGTTCTAAAATATTTATTTTTCTATTATATAGATGATGTGATCTCATACACCAGACAATGTGTCTGACTAAGAATCAGTATGTATGTATGATCATACATTTTCGTAATAAAACAAGAATGATGTTTTAATGAATCAATCAATTTGAATTTTAAGAGTTACACTTATTTTCAGTAAATTTGAGTCAATTTATGAGAGACCATTAGTTCTAAATTTCAAACTTCACCTTCGATAATAATTTCATTAAACTATCACGCGACACTTTGGTGAGATTTTTGGCTTTGTAGACCAAAATCTCCAGATTCACATCCACTTCGAACAGCCTGATATCAAACAGAAGTGATATTGGCTTTCACATATAAATGGAGATATGATAAGTAAAAATAGACTTACCCCGAAATCGGTGCATCAAATAAAAAATATCAGTAGAAAAAAGTAATAATTAAAATTATCAGATTAAAATTGGCCAACTGTTTGGTCACTTTCTAAATGGATACACTATTAGGAAGTGAATAATTCTATATGATGTCGCAGTTATCGCCAAAAATATAATATAATTTTATCATTATCTATAAATTATTAGCTAGTTTTACTATAAAAATATTATATTTTTTTAAAAAAATTATTTATATTAATTAGTACGTGGGCGTCCAATCACTGGACCGAGAGTATCACTATCAAATAAGAAATATTTCTTATATTTTTTTCCAAAATTATTTTTGGTAAGTTATAGTGAAAGAGTCTAAAATAAATTTCTATATATCTTTACGTTTTAAGGCCTTCTGAACAATTTAGCAAACCTAAGAAAAAAAGAATGTATGTGTGTGTATGTAGTATGTATGTGTGTGCCTATGTAGTATGTATGTTTGTGTGTAAGCAGTATGTATGTGCTTATGTATTTTTTGAAATTAAAAAAAATGTAAAGCTCTTAAATATTTCAAATTACGGTACGGGAAACTCTAGAAATATGCCTTGAGGCACGATGCAGTTTTTTAAAGCTTTATCAAAAGCCGGAGCAATTTAAATATATCTGGCCGGATTTCTAAAAATTATCCAATATCTTTTTGTGATACATATTTGAAACTTTTTGCTTTATAAAAAGATTTTCGATAATCTTCCGATAAGAGCACATATTGAATCTTTTTGGCGTCCGCGGCCTCGGTAATACATTGCCAAGGCCAAACACTGATTATGCTCACATGATACTAACATGTGTCAAAATTTCAACGTGCTTGGAAACAACGGTTTATCTTAATGATAAAAATTCTATTTAAAATAAAATTTTTAGATATTCAAAATTTATATATCATAATATGAAAAAATCGTGATATATTGTTAATAGCTTAAAATTGGTAGAAAGCGCAAATTGCACTTTATATATTTATTGCACAATGCAATACAAATTAACTTGTAGAACTGAATAATTTTATTAATTAAATTGTTAATTATGTATTATATTTGAATATTTAAAAATATCTTCTTATTCAAAAGTTTTCTTGCTATCATTTGAAAAAAATACTATTTATACTTAATTACATAGACTACAGTTTATAATTCTACTTCCGTTTATCATAATGATTTTCCATAACTTTTTTACATCTATAAATATTAGAGTTAATTATATTTTACTTACCGCCCTTTGCAAAATGATGCATCGTTCCTTTATCTGGTAAAGCTGATGGTCCAGGCATTTTTTCAAATGGTAAAGCATTTTCATTACTTGCTTTAGGCACCTTGGATAAATTTTTAATCGTCAATTATAAATATATCATTTAATCACTTTTCAACTATTTTTTTTAAATTGTAGATATAACTTACTGCACCGTTCGCGTATTTTCTTTCTATGTTTACTGCACATAATGGTAAATGTTGCTTTGTACCACTTTTCGACAAATTTGTCAAAAGTTGAAAACACTTAGCACTGTTAAGCATTGTTTTAGATTTATTAATATAATGTGAAATGGTCGTAATGAATTTGAAATTTCGAGTCATTTTGCCGCTATATCTTTCTGATAGCGGTATTAACGTTACCAGATATCATCGATGACTGACAAATTTAGAAATATACATATAAATACGCACATATATATACTATGTAATATTTACTCATTAACGCTTGCTTCATTATATTATAATATATAAGGCTTCTTGCTCATCTAACCATGAAGTATAATAGTTACAACTAGTGGTGCATGACATCGTGCCTAAAGGCAAATTGCTGGAACTTCCCGTGTCAAAAACTATTTTTTTTCAAGAAGATTAACATTTTTGAAAAAAAATTACTCTGAAAAAATTAGATTTTTGAGAAACTATAAATTTTTAACAAAAAATTACTTTCTTTTGAAAAAAAAGGACTTTTTGAAGAAAAATTTATTTTGAAATATTTTGGAAATTCTGAACTTTTTTTCAAAGCAATCGTACTGCTTTAACTGCATAGAGACTGCAATATCGAAGCGCGTAAGCGCCTCGCCGCCGTCTAACGGATAAACATTAGTACGGAACCCATAGAAATGTAAACAAAATTTATACTTATTATATTATATATGTCTAATGATCATTTTTGACTGCCAAATAGTGTTTTTTTTACTTTTTTTACTAGATCTCTGAAACCGCTAGACCTGCCTTTTTGAAAATTTGATCAATTCTTCATCTTTTTAATACAAGTAAAATGTTTTTTGAAATTTTAAAATCCAACGTTCCGTTCTCTTAAAAACCGTGTTACCGTTATTGGCACTTTTTGCCCCGTATAATCGGAACAGCTAGACCTGCATCCGCCAAAAACTAATCAGCACGTCTCCTTATCAATACGAATCGAATGTTTTTTGAATTATTCAAATCGGTTGATCGGTGTTTCCGAAATCGTCGACGAAAATTTGTATCCGCACACACACACACGCACACACACACATACATCCATTTTTTCTAAGGTATGCCAAAATATTCAGAAACTTTTGAAACGTAAAGATATATAAAAGTTTTTATTTTGCGATTACTATATCTTGCCCTACGGGAAGTTAAAAAGTATTACTATTATTTTAAAGGCCTCTGAATATACTTGTTATAACTATATTGTTTCAGAAATATGTTTTGTCAGAATACAAGTTATTATTTTTTTTTCGAAAAAAGTTTGTGTAAATATTTCAAAAGTCCAAATTAATCTGCTAATTAAAGTTTATCGATATTATGTCTAAATCTTGAGAGTCCTTTTTTGTGTATAATATTTCCTGAACAAATTTTTTGCGCAGATGTAGTGAACAAATTCTAATATGTGATTTTAAAAAATTTACCCGTTATTTATTAGTTAGGAAATATGTTATATGATAATTGCATAGTAGTTTCTTTTTAATTAACAGTTTTCTAATAACTATTTTAGGAATTCAAAATAATATCTTGTTGATCAACTCTATTTTTTTTAATCGAGAAGTGAATGCAACTTGTCTTAAGGCAAAATTCCACTTACACTTTGTATTTAATTGTGCTCATTTTAGCAGAAAATGTAAAAATCACTAAACTTTATCATTTGAAAAAAAACATACAATTGAAAAATTTTCCAAGTGGCTATTCTTTGATCAATATTTGTAAGATTATTCACATAACTAACGATGATTTTTTAAAGAAACTCGCAATAAACTATAAATTAGATATACAGTCTGTGTCTAAACAAAGTTTTTTTTTCATTTTAAAATAATGAACTAAAAATGCCCTAACTTGTAACAATAGATACGATATCGTTTTAATTATATTTAATTTAATTTATGCATGATTTCAAGGTGAATTTTAAAAAGTTACAAACGAAACAATTTATATATTGTGATAAAATACATTAAGTTTACTAGATAAAATTATATCGATATTCAATGATTTGATTCACTAATAATGAAAATATAAACAAATTAAAATTAAACAAAAATATAAAATTAAGAGAATTATATATAAAACTTGTAATAACTGTATGAAACTATTCAATGTAAATAGCTTTCCGATGAGTTCTTAAGCATATGCAACTTCAACAAGAATAAAAATATATATTTAGATATCATGTTGCTTTAAAATACTGTTCACACAGGAGTAAATTTGAAATTCATTGGTCCAGTTGGGTTTTGTATCATGGTGTTCTTGTATTGCATTTCGGCTCCTGTCCAATGAACCTTGTAATCGGTGATCAGCCTGGACACCAGTACTTCCATCTCAAGTTCTGCAAACCTCCTTCCGACGCACATTCTTGGCCCAAAACCGAAGGGCATGTAGGCGAATTTGTGGGCGCATTTGGCCGAAGGGACGCCTTCTGTTTCTGTACGTAGCCAACGCTCTGGCAAGAACTTGTTCCAATCAGGAAACTGATTTTTCACTCTTGACGAGAAGTCGTGCAATAAAAATAGCGCTTTCTGCAAAAAAATATTAGGTTTTTAACACAACTATATGTAGTTTACGGTCTTACTATGACTTTATAAAAAATAATATTTAAATCCCGATTGGTTTCTAGTAATCTATTAGAAATATCTGACTTTGATTAACAAATAGCTAACAATGCGTAAAACAAAGTTTAAAATTTGAGTTTATTCATAATATAATAACTAAAATTTGGTTTAAAAACAGTAATATTCTGCTATTAGTCAAATAGTTATTTATTTTATTAATATTATTTCTACTTACTCCTTTAGGGATGATATATTTTCCCAGCACAATATCTTGAACTGCTAGTCTACCAACTCCTTGAGCGACTGGTTTAATTCTATGGGATTCCTTAAAGCAAGCTTTTAGATATGGTATGTTGTTTAAACCTTCAGCAGTAATGGGTGAACCTTTAGGAAACACTTTGCCTAAATGCTCTCTTAAAATATCTTGCTTATCCTGATTTTTAGCCAAGTTATACAGAGTCGTGATAGTACTTGACGAGGTCTGTAAATTTATATTGTTAAGGTGTAGAAAGACTACCAGGATCTTGGTAGAATATGGTGTTATAAATAGGAAAAAAATTAAAATTACACTTTAAAGTTCTCATTAAACATAAAATTCTAGATATTGTTTTCAAAACTTATTATACAATAGAATAAAAAATATCTTTTTTACAGATGTTGGATAATGGTATAATTTTAATCTATAAAGATGTTCTAGAGCAATCCTAATTCTATTTTGTTTAACTATTTGCTAGTATGTAAATTCGCTCAAAAATAGTGCATTATATGTAAAACTTACTGTATCTACGCCAGCAAAAAACATATCAAGGGCCATTATTATTGCTACTTGGGGATCTTTCTTCAGCAATTTTTCCAATACGCTCAAATTTTCTTCATCGCTTGATGGATTTGTTTCTAATCGTTTCATAGCCTGCGATATATATTTCAATGCTACTCTGTAAAATATATTTTGAATAAAATTATTCAGTTTAGAGACACGTCACAATCAGCTAATTCTTTAAGCAAATAAAAAAGATCTTACTCGGTTATATCATCGTAGACTTGCATAAGCTCGTTGAATTTGGGCGTTTTTATATATTTCCAGAAAGATGGTAAAATTTCAATTTCATAACCTAATACGAAGAACTTTTGTAATGCATTTATTAATTTTTCACCATCAGCATGCTCACGAGCATCTGGATTAAAACAACCAAGTCGTGTGTCTACTGCAATACGAGCAATCGATTCTAATGACCATTTATTCATTTCCATTTGAAAATCCTCTGGTACATTGCCTTCTTTATCTAGTCGGGTTTTCATTCTAAAGAATTAGGAACATTATAAACAAATAGTATCATATATAAAAAAATTTACTCCGTTCAATCAAAAGAAAAAATGTGCTCATTTTTTGGAGAACTTAATACTTGTACTAAACATTCATTCAAACCATCATTTCCACAAGAAATGAGTGTAAAATATAGAGAGAGATATTGATTCACTCACAGTGTATATTAATTCTAACTCACATAATATATTAAATTTATTTACCTTGCGATAAAATCGTTGGCAATTTCTTCAATCCATCCAACATATTGCCTTGTAATCTTATGCTGCATCATGGGCTGATTTACTACTGACCGAATTTTTTGCCATTCTTCCCCTTGTCTTATAAATAGAAAAGAATGAATAACAAACAATTCAATAAGATTTTGTATAAAACTTACGAGTGAATTAGACCATAAACAGATTTGAAAACTTCTGGTCTTTTTTCTCTCAAGTAATATTCTCGTGATTCAAAAGCTGGTCTATCAGGCCAAGGCCCTTCAGTACGATATACCTAAAACATAATTATTATAAATATTTTGTAAGTTGTGACTTTATATTTTGGCAATATATACTTTTTCCATATGATCGAAGTTATAAAGGAAAACCATATCGGGTTTACCAGGCAATCCTCTGATGGCAACAATATCTCCATATTCTTCATAGAGCTTTTCTGTTAGTTGGGCTAAATCGAGACCTTTGTATTTACCTGAAATAATGAATAACATTTAAATTTTAATTGAATATTTTTATAAAAATTGTGATTTTATGATTATGAAATTATGATAAATAATTATATTAATATATTAGTTTTAATAAACATTCGGTATGATAATTTTTTTCTCCAAAGTTTCTATACGTTTGTTTGTTCTAACTTATATATCGGAGTCATTTTTGATTGAGTCTTAACTAAATAATGTTATAAATTTTTCAAAAATAGCAATGTGATTATAAGGCATCTTTAATCTAATGAAAAAAATTAAACAAATAGTTGTTTCTACTATTTGGTATCGATCAAGGAGACATTTTGTCGAATAACATTTTCACAGTTATAATTTCCTAGAATTTATCGAAGAATAGATAGTAATATATGAAGGTTCGGGGTTAAAAAGTTCTACCACCAATGTGTCAAAAACCATTTGAAAGTAGAGGGAAAAATATATATTACCAGCTATAACCATGATTCTCATGCCCTGCTAACGGGAGATAAACGGTAATCTGTGAAAATCCACAATAAAAGTATTTTCTTCCCTTGGTAGTTATTTAGCATTAGTTAAGAGTGTAATTATTTTGTAAAATACCTTTAAAAATAAAATAAGACATTAATCTTGTTTGCCACCTAGCCGTTCTAAGTTACTCCGCCTATAGGGTAAAAAGGTCTAGATAACAAATTTTTGAAAGACATAAAAAAGCACATTTCTACAATGATGAAGTAGCTGGCAGTTTCACTGAACGTAGTCAATAATTGTTCGTTTGAAATGTGTTCTTTGTTGTGATATAATTGTTTTGGTTTTCACAATATAGTTTATGTTTGCTCAAAGTCAAATTGGACCATTGTACCTCACCCGGTTCTACATATATACTTTTTATTATATTTACTTAAATTCATCAAATATTACTTGAAACTTTTCAAAAAGCAGGTCAAAGAATAAATACTTAATTCATTTTCTATTTCTCTTCGCAGAAATTTGAATTTTTGTTTATAAGGTAAGTAGTATTATTTACAATTATATACAAAATTCAAAATCCAAAAAGAATCTGAAAGATTTGAAACGTAATCAATTGTATATAGCATTCAAAAAACACATCCCTATACACTAAAAGTATTAATTTGTTTAATTCTCTAGAAATTGTTTAGAATATACCTTACTTAGCAAAACAACATTTGCCGGTCCAGATAGTATATATATATATATATATATATATATATATATATATATGCAAATATGCTTTTATAGTGTAAATTCTTGGATGTTTGTTTTTCTGTCTGCATAACATACGAAATTCATTCTATATTGAGACAAGGTCAATATTCTAAGAGTAACTTCCTACTAAATGATGTCATTTATTTAGTTCATTGAAACTATTACCGAATAATATGATCCTAATGAAAATGCTATATATATATATATATATATATATATATATCTATATATATATATATATATATTAACAAAGTCTAATAATCGGGCATAACATCAATAAAAACAATGTTTTTGTTTGTTTTTATTGATGTTATGCCCGATTATTAGACTTTGTTAATACATATGTCAACATCAAATTCAGAATCATACATATATATATATATATATATATATATATATATATATATGATTTAATTTTAAAATGATTGGCAAATATTATTCTAATTAAAGATATTTATTAACGATCCAATAATTTTATCTAGATCGATTTCATTAGTTTAAATGATCTTCAATAATTATTAATTAAATTATCAATGAAATGAAAATATGGTTGTGAAATTCATAGTATAAATATATATTACCTCCAGGTGCAAAATGATGGGCTACACCAATAATTGGTAATGTTGAAGGTCCAGGTATCTTGTTGTATGGTAAAGCATCTTTGACGGATACAGCCTGAGTTAATTTTTGCTAATTATTACAAATATATTTAATTTTATTTTAATCGTTTTAAATATATGTTAATTTCACTGATTAATAACTGTTATCGAACATTCATGATTATTGCTATCTATAATAAATTTTCCCATAACTGCGCAAATAACATACCTCAGCTATATTTGTAGAGTACTTGTTCACGATAACATTTTGTATAAGTTTTTGTTTCAAAAATTCCCGAGATGCCTTGTTACTTAACACTACTATAGACCTTGAACTGGGAAACATTTTAATATTTTGAAGTAAATAGTAAATAAATCATATATTTTTTATTAATAAACACAAACACTATTCACTAGCCAATTCATCAATTTGTAAGCACAGCATCTGATATCACCTTAACATTGCAACTGATGTGCTAAGTCTATATTTGTGTTGATATCATTCGTGACTAGCAATATTTTAAATAAAATTTATGCGCAATACATACATAAGTGTGAGTTTACTAATCACAATGATGATGCCAAACAAGTTCTCAATCGTAGCATAATTATGTTTATATTACTCAGCATTAAATGTTATGAAATTTAGGTAATTTAATTAAAAAAAAATTTTTTTTGAATATTTTGATTTAGTAACACATTTGTTTTATATATTTATATTTTTAACAGCAATCAGAACCTTACGAGCCCAGTAACACATTTTTAAAATTAAAATTATGCTTAAATAATGAATTTTCTAATAAATGCTATTTAATATTTTGAGTTCAATTATTTGATGAAATTAATCAATCCTAATGATTTTAATATAGACTTCAAATGCCATGTATACATTAAACAAAATGCAACTTCACTCATATGTTATTATACCCCATCACAAAGATGCAGTTATGATAACATAGTTTTTTTTTGACATTTTTGCTTTTTCTAGGCGTAACTACATGGCATTTTGACATTATTTAGTACCATTTTGTATAAGAAGCGCTACGTAACATAGTCTCTACGTAACATTGGTCTATTTTACGGCAGAATCGGCCCTTTGGTTTGATGATTGACAACAAACACAGTTATATAGGACCACAAATAAAACAACGAACATTTCTTTATGAAGTGAAAACTAAACTATCTATTTTAACTTACACTTTTTTCTCTTTATACAATAGCTTATAAGGTATATTATTCTTTTATATTGTATCTTTTTACAATATTTTCACAAACTTTTTTGTATACTTAGAGCATTTAACTACCTAAAACATTTCACTTTTTTATATTCTATACTATTTTTATTTATAGTATATATATTTTGTACTTCATTATCCATAACAGAATTCTTTATTCTTTATTTTTCTTCCACACCTTAACTTCTCCATTGCAAATTTTGCTTTCTTCTCTTTTAATTTTATTCTAATTCAAATTAAATGACAATTGTCAGGACTCGAACCGAGTACCACCGGCGTGTGGTACTAGTATAGGATATACTAATGACTAAGCTAACGCCGCCACTATATTGTTTCTTGATTGATTTTAATAAAATCAAAAAAATATTTGGCATCGACCTTACACGGTCATTCAGTCATGGAGAGAAGTCTAATGTTTTGTTTGATGTACTCATATTATTTTTAAATTTATATATTCGTTCCGATTCTGTTACAAATTCAAAAACAACCTTATTATTTACAATTATTTTTTTCACAAATTTGACAAATAACTTTAATATTTATAGCTATGCTACATATGCAGATACAACTATTTTGTGGCCGACACTATAAACTAGGTAACTGACTCAAATTCAAACCAAGATGCAAAAATCTATAGAATACATAAAATTTATATTTTTAACGGTTGATTGTATAAAAGTAGAACACAAATTTTAATTGTACAATAATCTAGATACATGATACTAATATTAGAACTAGTTTCTAATATATTATTTGGACATTACATTACACAGGAGTCAATTTAAAATTCATTGGCCCAGTCGGGTTTTGTATCATGGTGCTCTTGTATTGCATTTCCTCTCCGGTCCAATGAATCTTATAATCAGTGATCAGCCTGGTCACCAGTACTTCCATCTCGAGTTCGGCAAACCTCCTTCCGACGCACATTCTTGGCCCAAAACCGAAGGGCATGTAGGCGAATTTGTGGGCGCATTTGGCCGAAGGGACGCCTTCTGTTTCTGTACGTAGCCAACGCTCTGGCAAGAACTTGTTCCAATCAGGAAATTGATTTTTCACTCTTGTCGAGAAGTCGTGCAATAAAAATAGCGACTTCTGCCGAAAAATAATAAATTATTAAATAATTATACTTATACTGCTTGCTGACTAGTATCTAGATTTGAAGTGAAGATCACTAACTTTCTAACTCAAAATTTAGAATATTTTTTAGTAACACACTAATGTTATTGCAAATAAAATAATTTAAATTTGTTATTATAATAATAAATTATTTTTATTAATTTTATTTCTACTTACCCCCTTCGGAATAGAATATTTGCCCAGAACAATATCTTGACCTGCTAGTCTACCAACTGCTTGGGCTACTGGTTTAATTCTATGAGACTCCTTAAAGCAAGCTTTAAGATATGGTATGCTGTTCAAACCTTCAGCAGTTATTGGTGAACCTTTAGGAAATACTTTGCCCAAATGCTCTCTTAAAATATCTTGCTTATCCTGATTTTTGGCCAAATTATACAGAGTTGTAATCGTACTTGACGAGGTCTGTGAATTAATGTTGGTAATCATGACTGTTTTATTTTGAAATTGACGTTAACAGAAAGATGTAAGTAGGTAAAACTTTTCAAAACTGACTCTTGTCTAATATAATTTTCATATATTGTATATTATAGATATAAGTTTTAATCAAAGTTACATAAATAGTTAATTTGTGTTAGATATGTTGAGAAATTATATTGACTTTTGATTGGTCTTTGAATTTCTTCATTTTCTATTTGATCTAATACGAGCAATGTGCAAATATTAACCTATTTTTATCATTTTATAGTTTTATACATTTTTTAGTATATCTATTTAGTGTGCTAGAAAAATATCTCACCGTATCTACGCCAGCAAAAAACATATCTAGGGCCATAATTATTGCGATTTGGGGATCTTTCTTGAGCAACTTTTCCAATATGCTTAAGTTTTCTTCATCGTTTGTTGGATTTGCTTCTAAACGTTTTCTCGCCTGTGATATGTATTTCAAAGCAACGCTGTAAAATATATTTAAATAAAATTATGTATTTTGGTTTCTTATAACTATCATCTAATTAAGCAAATAAAATAGATCTTACTCAGTTATGTCATCGTAGACTCGTATAAGTTCCTTAAACTTGGGCGTTTCTATATATTTCCAGAAAGATGGCAAAATTTCAAGTTCATAACCTAATACAAAAACTCTTTGTATCGCTTTTATCAATTTTTCACCATCAGCATGCTCAGGAGCATCTGGATTAAAACATCCAAGACGTGTATCTACTGCAATACGAGCAATCGATTCTAATGACCATTTATTCATTTCCATTTGAAAATCTTCGGGTACATTGCCTTCTTTATCGAGAAGAGTATTTAATCTGAAAAATTGAATATTTGATACTAAAATTCATTAAAGTAAAAATTTCTACACAAAAATTTTCTCTTTCGAAAAAAAAACGAGCTCGAAGAAATCGTTGATTGTACTCATAATTTGTGCCTGTATATTAGATTGGGAGCGTTATATGCGCACTCTTACTCATGTTATTACTAGATATAAATCAATTAATAAAACATAATATATAAATTGATTATAAGTACCGTGCAATAAAGTCATTGGCAATTTCTTCAATCCATCCAACATATTGCCTTGTAATCTTATGCTGCATCATGGGCTGATTTACTACTGACCGAATCTGTTGCCATTCTTCACCTTGCCTAATAAATTGATACGCAATAATATTAATTAGTTAATTGGATTATACTCGGAATATTCTAATTAATAATTTGATAAAATTTTGGTAAAATTATACTTACGAATGAAGTAGTCCCAAAACAGATTTAAAAACTTCTGGTCTTTTATCTCTCAAGTAATACTCTCGTGATTCAAAAGCTGGTCTATCAGGCCATTGCCCTTCTGTACGATATACCTAGGAAATAATAATTAAAAATATTTTTGTATTTGTGTTTTTATATTTTTGCAGTACATACCTTTTCCATGTGATCAAAGTTGTATAGGAAAACCATATCTGGTTTGCCAGGCAATCCCCTTATTGCTACAATATCTCCATATTCTTTATACAATTTTTCTGCTAGTTGTGCTAAGTCGAGACCACTGTATTTACCTGGCATCATGATTGGAATATCTTATATATAAAAATAAATCACAAAATGTGTTGGAAAGCGCATAACTCAACAACGCCTGGACCAGTTTGGCCAATTCTTTTTTTTAAATGTTCGTTGATGTCCAAAGATGATTCTTACGACAAGAAAAAATAGAATAATTGTCAAAAAAACCCTAAAAACAGCCCTTTTCTTTTCCTCATACAAACGTTTTTTCACTAAAACGTAGAATCAATTTGAGCTTTATTGCTAATATATAAAGTTTATATTAAATTACAAGCACTCACTGTATACTCCTTCTAAACGATTATGCGGATTTTGATAAATCTTTCTGAAGTTTGTTAAGGAAATTTTCTATGATGTATGTGAATATTAAGTACTGAGATGTATGTGCAATATTGTAGAAATAAATGGAAAAAATTGTAAAAAATGACATGTCATTGTTTGCATTAAAAACAAATAAAAACTATCATCTGCCAAAAATTTTAATTTACTTATGAATCTAGACAATGTTGGAATATGTATAATAAATTTATGATTATGAATAAGAAAAATGAAATGTCCACATTATTATTGCCAAAAAGCAGCTGAGATGTGCCAGAAATTAAAATAATAAACATATGAACAGGGTATGACAAATTAATTCACTTGAAATATGAAATTAAGTATTATTCAGCGCCAATCCTACTTTTAATGCGAAAAATACGAGCGCACGCCTTAGGGGACACCAACACAAGATTCGGATATTAAATTTTCAATATAGTTATTTTTAGGTAAAAAATTATAGCTATTACAATTTCTATTAACGAATATGCTTATTTCTATGCCTATTCTATCTTTTCAAGGTGAATATTTTAACAAAGACTTCCTACTACATGATGTCATTAAATTGATTCAAATCGTTCCCAAATATTATAATTGGTCAAGGTAAGGCGTAACAAGTACATATTCCAAAAATACTACTTAATGCATTTTAATATAAATTTAATATTATGAAGCGACTAAATAATATCTCTCGAACAAACTTATTGATGTTCCAGTTGTTTTATGTGAATTTGTAGAAATGAAATGTAAACATATTTGTACAATTTGCATGCTAATATATGTATGCTATTATATAAATAATTACCCCCAGGTGCAAAATGATGGGCAACACCAATAATTGGCAATGTTGAAGGTCCTGGTATCTTGTCGTAAGATAGAGCATCTTCGAAAGATATAGCCTGTTTTAATCATATCAATTAATACATATATGTTAAACTTAATGAAAAATTTATATAATCTATTTTAAAGTATGGTAATTTTACAGAGTAGTGAATGCAACCATTAATTCACGATTATTGTTATCTAAGATAAATATTCCCATAAATTCACAAATAACAAACCTCAGCTAGATTAGTAGAGTACTTGCTCACAACAACATTTTGTAAAAGTTTTTGTTTTAAAAAATCACAAGGTGCTTTGTTACCTAACACTACTAAAGACCTTAAACCAAACATTTTGAAGTAAATAGTAAACTTTTATTATTCTGAAGTAGATTGTAAATTATTCCTATTTTTATTAGTAAATACAAATACTACACTGGACAATTATTCATGAATGTAAAAGCACAGCATCTGATATCACCCAAACATCACAACTGATGTGTTCAATTTATATTTGTGTTGATATGATCGTGACTCGCAGAATTTTAAATGAAATTTATGCGCGATACTTACATAAGTATGAGTTTACTAATCTCAATGATGCTACCAAACAAGTTTTAATATGATAATTATATTTATATTATCTAGCATCAAATTTTATTCTTTTTTCTTGTAGCGTTTAGTATACAAACTTAGCATCTAATTTGTTGCATTATAGAACCTATTAATATTAGTAGATAAAATACAAAATTATTTTCTGGCATTATATTATACAGGAGTAAATTTAAAATTCATTGGCCCAGTCGGATTTTGTATCATAGTACTTTTGTATTGCATTTCGGCTCCTGTCCATTGAACCTTGTAATCGGTGATCAGCCTGGTCACCAGTACTTCCATCTCAAGTTCTGCAAACCTCCTTCCGACGCACATTCTAGGCCCAAAACCGAAGGGCATGTAAGCGAATTTGTGGGCGCATTTGGCCGAAGGGACGCCTTCGGTTTCTGTACGGAGCCAACGCTCTGGCATATACTTATTCCAATCAGGAAACTGATTTTTCTCTCTTGATGAGAAGTCATGAGTTAAAAAGAGCGCGGTCTACGAAAAAATGAACACAATAATAAAATGTTATGTAGTTACTATAAATTTGTCATACCCCTTTCGGAATGAAATAGTTTTGTAGAACTATGTCTTCTCTTGCTATCCTTCCATTTGCTTGAACTACTGGCTTCATTCTATGCGATTCTTTAAAACAAGCTTTCAGATAAGACGCGCTATTTAAACCTTCGGCAGTTATAGGTGAACCTTTAGGGAATAACTGTGATAAATGCTTTCTTAAATTATCTTGCTTATCTTGATTTTTTGCCAAGTTATATAAAGTCGTAATCGTACTGGAAGCTGTCTGAAAAAACATAAAAATCACACTATAGATTATGAAAAGTAATTAATTATTTGAAACTTGTTATTATATTAAATTGTAATTATCATAGTTTATTAACTCACAGTATCTACTCCAGCAAAAATCATGTCCAGAGCCATAATTATTGCTACTTGAGGGTCTTTCTTGAGTAATTTTTCTAAAACACTTAGATTATTTTGATCGTTTGTAGGATTGGCTTCTAATCGTTTTCTTGCTTGTGAAATATATTTCAAAGCAATACTGTAAAATAAATGAGTTATTTCAAAATAACACTTTCATCTAAACTAGTTAAATATTGAATATAAGGGACCGATTCTGCCGCAATGTTATGATAAGGTCATGTTATGAAGAATTTTCCATAGTAATATAGACAAAAGTTATGCGGTTGGTGTTCAGTCAGGCGAATTTCTCAGGTTTTCTCATACAAAACATAACCTAAAAGCCGCACAAATGTCAAAAAAACGATGTTAGATAAGTGTGTGTTTCTGTTTCCTCTTAGGTAACATACGAGTGACGTTGCAGTTTATGCTTAAAACGCCGGAATGTACAGCAAATACATGATATTTTGACAGCATTCAGTATGATTCATTCGCATAATGTATGGGGAGTCGGAGCGTAACATGCCATGCGGTAACATTTCTCTGTTATGCGCAGAATCGGTCCATAAACCTACTTTGTCACGTCATCGTAAGCCCGCATTAATTCTTTAAATTTGAGAGTTTTTATATGCTTCCAGAACGAAGGAAGGATTTCAAATTGATATCCTAATTGAAAGAATTTTTGTATAGAGTTGATCAACTTTATCCCATCCGAATCATGATGGTAATCTGGATTCAAACAGCCAAGTCGGGTATCAATTGCGATACGAGCGATCGATTCTAAGGACCACTTATTGATTTCCATTTGAAAATCTTTGGGCACATTTCCCTCTGGATCAAGGAGAGTTTTCATACTAAAAATATAATTCAGATATCTACTATAAAAACTTAGTTTAATGAATTACTATTTTCAGTTTTTTTCTACTATATATATAATGGGCCATTTCTACTATATTAGCGCTTATAAGAATTTGTCAAATTCCATTACTTTTTGGTGACAATAAATAAAAAAAATTAAATAAACCAGTTGAAAGTGGCATCGTGTTTTAAGGAAAATTGCTTAATTTTCTTACAAAAAATTAAGTTTTTAAAAATGATTAAAAATTTTTTCATATCTGATTTTTGACAATTTTGAAATTTTTGAAAAAAATTACTATTTTTGAAAAAAAAAACATAATTTTTTGACGAAAAATTGTATCAGCACATACATACATGTACGCACACAGACATATACACACATACATTTATTTTTTATAATTTATAATATATAAATTTTTTTAAAATCTCATTTTTGACAATTTTGAAATTTTTGAAAAAAATTACTTTTTTTGAAAAAAATTAATTTTTCTGAAAAAAAAATTTTTTTTCCAAGAAAAATTGTATCCGCACATACATACATATACGCACACAGACATATACACACATACATCCATTTTTTATAAGGTAAGCCAAAACATTCAGAAACCTTTGAATCGTAAATATATATAAAAACTTTCATTTTCAATCTTTTGCGATTACTATAACTTACCCTACGGTGAGTTAGAAATATATAATTTAAGTATAGTTTCAGATTTGTTAGTTTGAATTGTAAATATTGAAATTCTTCGAATCTTCTTTAAGGAACATGTATCATTGGATTGTTTCCATTTATATTATATAAAAAAAAATCAGTCTTTCGTTTTGTCTAGTATAATATTAAATTTGTAATCTCTAACACTAATGAAATAGTTGTTATTAAATTTAATAATGTAGTTTATATTTTTGGCTCATTTTGTATCATTTTAATAAGAGTTATTTAATCACGAAAACAAGTACGTGGGGTTTTAGATTATATCTGACAACAGTTTGTTTAATTATAAATTTGGTATGGTAAATCAATGGTTTCAGTTTATTGATGTAATAGAATAAAACTAGTATGTGTATCATTTTTACCGAGCTAAAAAATCGTTTGCAATTTCTTCAATCCATCCGACATATTGTCTGGTAACTTTATGTTGCATCATTGGCTGATTTACAACAGATCGAATCTTTTGCCATTCCTCACCTTGACTGCACATAAAAAAATAATTTTAATCAATTGATAAAAACAATCTAAAATCAAGTATTTTGAAGTACTAACGAATGAATCAGTCCATAAACAGATTTGAATACTTCAGGTCTTTTTTCTCTCAAATAGTACTCTCGTGTTTCTAGAGCAGGTCTTTCAGGCCAAGGTCCTTCATTTCGATAGACCTGAAATTTTAAATATTTGTTATGTCTGTTATGTACATTTATGTAGAATTTTGGTATACCTTTTCCATATCTTCAAAATTATAAATGAAAACCGTATCAGGTTTGCTTGGCAATCCCCGGAGGCACACAATGTCTCCATATTCATCATAAAGCCTGTTTATTAATGATGTTAAATCCAAGCCACTATACTTTCCTATACAAATATATAAAAACCATTAGAAGACATAACATCAAGTACAAAAGAAAATATATATTTATTAAAAAAATTACAGCATCATTATTTTTTACTGTATTTTGAAATATGATTTTATAACATCATGAGTGAAACTACAGTTATGAGAAAAAATATAACAATTATAAACTAAATGAATCATAGAAGCAATATATAAAGAACTCAAATAAATACATAGAAAGATAATATTAGAATTTTGATCTCTAGCTACAAAATTATTATTTAAATTTACTTTACTAAGATAGAGTAAGACTGTAATAAAATTAAGAAAAAATAGAATAGACTCTAATGGGCCAATTTTTCCCTAAAATATACCAATGTTATGGCTTTTTTTTCATATAAAATGGTACTAAAAACTGACATAATGTTATGTATTTGCTCATTTAAACATAAAATATATCTTCACTCATATGTTATTAGGACACATCAGAAAGATGCAATTAAAACAAGATTATTTGTTTGACGTTTGTCACGCTTGACGCACAGCGACCACATAGCATTTTGAAAGCTTTTAGTACCATTTTATATGAAAACCACAGCATAACATAGCCTTGCCATAACATTGATCTAATTTATGGGAGAATTGGCCTATAAATGTTCAAATAAATATGTGATGAAATTTATAATTATGTAACAAAGATATATATGTATATATTATATGTATATATGTATAAATAAATAAATATATATATATATATATATATATATATATATCTGATAGTGTCAAACACTGATCTATTACGTAATGTTATTTGATTCATTTAAATTGTATCATTAAATATTTTACTCTTGTGCAAGGTGAAAATAATTTATTTTATGTGTTTGGACGCATGCAGAGTATAATGCTTAAATTATTTGAATTAAAAATTTATATTTCTGGAGGATATTCAACCTATTATCATGCTAATTTACCTCCTGGTGCAAAATGATGAGCTGCACCAATAATTGGTAATGTTGAAGGTCCTGGTATCTTGTTGTATGGTAATACATCTTCGATAGATACAGCCTAATTAATATTACAATCATTATCATTGCGTTTTTAATGTAAATGAAAAATTGATTAAATTGTATCATATTATTTTTCAAATTCAAATCTTCTAACTCGTGTAAGATAAACTATTCCAAAATTATGTTAATTGATTTGATTATGAGTACATTATCGTATAAAAATCAAACATTAACATTATATTTTGTTTATCTGTAAAAAAATTATCTGATTCATTCTCAAATGATTTACCTCAGCAAGATTAGTCGAGTACTTATGCACAATATTTTTTTGCACAGATGCTTTCTTTATAATATTTTTCAGCACATTGTTATTCGATTGCAATAGAGATTTTGAACTTAAGAACATTTTGATTTTTTCACTAATATGTATGTTTTACATTAATTATTAATCACTTTTAATAGTATTTCTTATCACAGTGTCAACTGTCATATCAACAATATAACTGATGCATGTGTTTGAATATCACATTCATACGACCAGCGCTGGTTATTTAAATTAAACTGTTGCGCAATTTATTCGTCGAATATATTATTTTAATAATCAATATGAGTAAGAAAGTGTTGGGAAATCAAAATTGACACTCATTAACTCCCCGAAGGAAAAGTTTATGGATTATTTTTCGTGACAAAATCAGATTTGCTTATTAACTTCCCGGAGGAGAAGTTTATCTATTCATAAAAAAATCAGATTCATTAATTTTATTTTTTAAGTACAACTTCTTTAGGCGCGACTAGGGTGTAAATCCGTACAAATGCAACGGAAGTCGGTTACGCCCGAACTGTTCGCTCTCGATGAGATCATTTCTATACAGGTCGACTGTGATTAGCTGTCGTGTATGTGAATACAGATCTGTCGTTGTATGCGTACCGATATCAACAAGAAAATTGGCATAGATAAATAAACATTTTAATGTTATATCGAAGCACAAATCTTGATTTAATGAAAAATGCCTGAAACAAAAGAATATTTTACCCTGTTCCTTAAAAATAATAAAACAAAACAAACATTTGTGCCTTGTACCAAACGTAAGTTTATTGATTAGAAATTATTTATATATTATCTGTAGTTTCTATAAATCTTTGAAGTTATTATAATGGAAAATATTTTTTAGGCGAGACAGATACAACAGCTGTTCAAAGAATGAGATTATCTCGTCAGCGAAAAAGTAAAAAAATACAAGCAAATAAGTTTTACTTCAATCGCGTGTGAACCTTACGCGCAATCTTGTTTTCGACGTTTTAAGCCATTCTGAATCGAATGAGACCAAATTTGGAAAATGTATGTGTGTGTTTGTATGTATGGCTTTATGTGTATGCGAGCCAATTTTTTAATCTCAAAAAATTCTAAAATTAAGTAAGAGAATTTACAATTCATTTAGTATTGTGCAATTTACATTTTGGGAATCCCAAAAATGCATTTTAATAATTTCAATCGAATGATTACCTCATAAAGTAAACAGAACAATCCTAAATGGATTTTTCTTATAATACTATTTACCGTTAGTTCAATATCCAATTACACCCTCTTGAATTTGGGGTTTTTAATTAAAAACCACAGTTGCTTACTTTTACGAAAACATGCACTCCAGATTCATAATTATTTTCAGATCACATTTTTCTTTATTAATCTAAAAGATTATAAATCAGATACAAGATAAAATATTTGTTTCACAAATAAACACTTATCTCTACATCAAATTTAGTATAAAATCGTTCTCAAAATGCAGTCTTTAATTAGTGTTTAATTCACTTACGATCGGGCAAAATGATGTTCTTGGCTGTGTTTAGTGCTATTCTTTGTGCAGTGGCTGGTAAGTAAAAAAAAAAAATTATTTTCTCCATAATTGAAAGTATAACATGATAGCATTTATTTATTTATTAAATAAATATTGTTTAGCTGGGCCTACTAATCGCATTGTTGGAGGATTGGAGGCGAAAAATGGATCAGCCCCATTCATGGTTTCTTTGCAAGCGGAAGACTATTTTCATTTTTGTGGAGCCTCTATTCTGAATGAGAGATGGGTTCTTACTGCTGCTCACTGTATCCAACCGTAAGTTTAATAAAATAATAATATTTTTCATTGCACAAAAAATACCAACACTTGAATTATTTTTGCATATTGAAATTATCTCATTACTCCTAGGTATTTACAAGTTCTAAATACATTTCTCATAGTATAAATATTTTTTTTTATTTGTTACATTTCAGAAATGTACACAAGTACGTTTACGTCGGTTCGAACAACGTAGAAGTAGGCGGAACACACTACGAAATCGAAAAAGCTTTCTATCACGAAGAATATGATGGAGTAGATCTTGTAGATCATGATGTTGCCTTGATCAAAGTGAAGACAAACATTGAATTTAATGAAGTTGTTCAACCCATTAAATTACGAAGAAAGCCACTCGTTGGTGGTGAGGAATTGAGAGCAGTAGGCTGGGGAAATACAAATTCAGCAGGAGAAAATTTTCCATTGAAACTTCAAGAATTGTACGTGAAAGCTTTGACTAATGAGGAGTGCAAAGCTAAATCACCAATTCCACCAACGACCCAAGTCTGCACACTTTTGGAAAAGAATCATGGTGTATGCTCGGTAAGAAAATTAATAATTATTGAAAATTTATAATTTTTAGAAAAATATAAATATTACTTCCATATTTATTTTATAGGGAGATTCTGGTGGTCCATTGCTTTTGGATGGCGAGCAAGTTGGCATTGCCTCATTTGTTATCTTCAAATGCGCAATGGGGTACCCTGACTATTTCACAAGATTGTCTCTATATGTAGATTGGATTGAACAACACATGGATTAAAAATAATAAAATAATAATTTAATTTACTTGTTTTATTTTATTCATTTTTTTCTGAAAAAATCATGTGATATATATTTGCGATATTCACATACAAGTGATAAATTAAGATACTCGTCTGATTGGAAAACTTTAGTATATAAGCATCGACCATATATATTTTTTCATTAAAGTACTCTATGATGTTTAACCATATTATAGTCAAATATCATATATATTATTTTATAAAAATATTGTCATTATCTTATACCTTCAGCAATTTTCAAAGTGTGATAGATCATTAACACGCACGAATCTAGATATTTTTGAAAATTTTAAATGACACATGCATTTATATATTTCATAGGTTATAATACAATTAGTCAACTTTCCATAGAATTCTATAGGATGAAATAATCAATAAAACTAATTTCACATTCACAACCTAAACTTAAAAAAAGAGTGCGCGTAAGGTTCACAAGCGATTGAAGTAAAACTTATTTGCTACTGTACAAGATGGCATTTAAGTAAAAATAAATACATCATATAACAATTTTGAATAATGTTTATGAGTAATATGGTAATACTCGTAATATGACATGACCGGTTTGTCATTGTAATTAGCATTTAGAAATGAACATTCATTAGAGAAATGAAGGAATTGCTGATTAATAAATTCTATAATATTTGTTCACACAGTGGATTATGTTAAACAACGCCTAAACAAATATTTTTTTCGCAACTTCGCTCATCATGTAATTGTGCTTGAAGAACATCATGTAATTAAAATTAACATACATTCATCGACTGCTTGTATTTTTTTTTACTTTTTTGCTGGCGATATAATCTCATTCTTTGAACAGCTGTAATATCTGTCTTGCCTAAAAATATTTTCCATTTTAACAACTTTAAAGATTTATAGAAACTACGAATAAGATAGAAATAATTTCTAATCAATAAACTTACTATTCATTAATCTTATTAATCAATATTTTCAAGGAACATGGTAAAATATTCTTCTGATTCAGGCATTTTCCATTAAATCAAGATTTGTACTGTAACTTTAAAATATTTATTTATCTATGCCGATTTCCTTGTTGATATCGGTACGCATACAACGTTGATCCTGGTACGCAAACAACGACAGATCTATATTCATATACACGACGTCTAATCACAATCGACCCGTATGGAAATGATTTCATTGAGGGCGAATGACAGATCATTGGCACTCGACTCGGCCGTAACGCACTTCCGTTGCATTTGTACGGATATACACACTAGTCGCGTCTAAAAAAGTTTTACTTCAAAAACATCTACTATTAGTTGAACATTTGAAACAGAAAACCAAAAGCAAAATACCCCCGCTTTTTAGTCATCTTACATGTTGAGTTATTTTTTACTAACATTGAAATGTATCTAATATTTAATATCGTTTTATTATGAACTTGGTCATATATTTAATTAGTAGAAAAATATAAAAGCAAAAAATTAATTAATATTTGAGCTTCTGGATTCTTTCAATGAAAATTAATTACAGTCTTAAATTGTGAAAACCCCACAGATAACGCCATTTATATATTAATAATTTTGATACTTTTGAATGTTCTAACAAACAACATGCTTTATATTATACTCGTATATGATTCAGTAATCGGGATTTCAAAATAATTAAAATTCCACTTTAAATTTACTTTATCTGATACTCATGTAACACTTCAATAATGGTTTGTACTTATGCTCACATTTTTAAAATGTGTATTTGATAAAAAAGATATATAAGTGTCTTGTACATGTGATTTGAGTTATTTGAAGCTAAGAGTTAATAAAATGTCACACCTGGTGAAACTTTTCTTTGTAATGTACTGTGCTTGTGCATTAGGTAGTAGAGTAATAGAAAATATGATTAAAATTATTGTTAGAATATCATAAGTGAGATAATCCAATACCACCAGTGAAATAAATCATAAGTATTAAAAAAAATAATATAAAAAACACGAATTGTATAAAATATATATGTAAATTTTATATTTCATTGTATTTATATATTTCTTCATGGTCTTTTCCAGCATCGGCACTGAAGTACTCCATCGATCATGGTCCTCGTATCATCGGAGGTGAAGTTGCAGGTGAAGGATCAGCACCTTACCAGGTGTCCTTAAGAACCAAGGAAGGAAATCATTTTTGCGGTGGATCAATACTAAATAAGCGATGGGTTGTAACTGCAGCACATTGTCTTGAACCGTAAGTAAACCTAAATAATATTAAAGAAGTGCCTAATTATTATTAATATCTAATCTATCCAATTATTTTATCATACATGCAAATCTGATATTGGGTGGTTCAAAAAAGTTTTCGGTAAACAGATTCTATATAAAAAATGCACTTTTCATTTTTGACCTTTTGATTTCTGAAGATATTCCTAATGCAAAAACACCATATAGTTTGGTTTCGATTTTTGGACTTCATTTGTTCATATATTATCATTAATTTCTGTGCAGGGAAATATTAGATTCGGTATACGTCGGATCCAATCACTTAGACCGAAAAGGCAGATATTACGACGTAGAACGGTATATAATTCATGAAAAATATATAGGAGAACTAAATAATTTTTATGCTGACATCGGTCTAATAAAACTTGATGAAGACTTAGAATTCAATGACAAAGTCAAGCCAATAAAAATTCATGAAAACACAATTCAAGGTGGTGAAGGGCTTAGAGCAACAGGTTGGGGACGTCTTGGTGCTGGTCGCCCAATTCCTAATAAATTGCAGGAGCTACAAACATTTGCTTTAAGTGATAAAGATTGTACAGTAAAAACTGGTCTTGTACCAAAGTCACAACTTTGTGTTTTCCGTGCATCGGAAAAAGGAGTTTGCTTTGTAAGTAAACATATATATTGTATCATCTTTCCAAAAAAAAGATAAAACTAATATATATGTTATTTAATTTAAACTTGAAAATAATAAGAAATAAATTAATTACCTTAGGGTGATTCGGGAGGTCCTTTGGCAATCAATGGTGAACTTGTTGGTGTTACTTCATTCATTATGGGAACATGTGGAGGAGGACATCCTGATGTCTTCGGTCGAGTCCTTGACTTCAAACCATGGATTGATTCTCATATGGCAAATGACGGCGCATAATTCTTTTATTTAATAATGATTGAATGTAAAATTATAAACAAATTGTAAATTGCATAAATGATATAAATGCAGGAAATTCGATTTTTTTGTATGATATCTTTATCTTAAGGGGGTATTTTAGTGTAGAGCGATGAATTTTAGGTCATTTTTAAAGTGTCGTAAAAGAATGCAATGAATGTTTTTACTATCCATTTTTTACCACTTGTTTATTAATATTATTAAAACACAAAACAAAAATAAACTAGCTGTAAGTGGAATTCTGTCTTGAGGCAATTATGGCATCGTGCTTTAAGGCAAATTGCTGGAACTTCCCGTACCGTAACGAGGAATACTGAATGTTTTCAAATAGATTATTATAAATATTGTAACATTGTCTAATATTTATAAGAATTATATAAACTGAATTGCAGAGTTGAAATTATTTATAAAGTATATTAGAACTAATAGTCAGAATTAAAAATAAAATCTGAAATATTTTCGATATACAAAAAACTAAACTAAAAAAAAAAAAAAAAAAAGTTGGAACAAAATTTTTTTTCCAAAATAAATTATTTTGTTAAGACAAGCAGAAAGTTCTTTGAATCATTTAAATCGGACGCTTAGTTCTCTCAAAATCTGTCATTTTTTACATATTTAGCTCCGTATCTTCAAAATGGCTGGGCCTGCCTTTTCCAAAAACTAATAAACACTTCTCCCAATCATTACTAATTGAATGTTTTTTAGATGATTCAAATCGGATACTCCGTTCTCTCAAAAATTCGATTTCTATTTTCTGCACTCTTTGCTCCGTATCTCCGAAACGGCTGGACCTGCCTCTGCCAAAAACTAATCAGCTCTTTTCCCTATCAATAGGAATCGAATGTTTTTTGAACCATTCAAATCGGTTGATCCGTGCGCCCTAAAACGTGACTGGAAATTTGTATCCATACATACATACACACACACACACACACACACACACACACACACACACACACACATCCATTTTTTCTGAGGTATGCCAAAACGTTCAGAAACCTTCAAAACGTCGAGAAATGTAAAAATTTTCAATTCCGATTTTCGGCCCATTACAATAACTTACCCTACGGGAAGTTAAAAAGTTGAAAATTGTAAAAACTGGCAGCTGATGAAGTGGGTGGTCTCAAAAAATTGTGGCAACTCAGTTTTTTTTTCAGCCCTCCTAGCCATCGGAAATGCGAAAAATAAAAAGATTATTAATCTACAATGATGTCGCAATCGCCCGAACCAGCAATGAGTAAAAAAGAACATTTTTTACAACAAATTGGCGACTGTTTGAAAAAAAAGTGTTTTTTTACTGTTTTTTTGAGTTTCTCGAATTTTTTAAAATAGTAAAAAATGGAATTTGGGGATAATCCTAGATCGGGCTATAGATAGGTCTATAAACAAGACTCTCTGAACATTTCAAGTGAATCGGTGGATTAAAACTCGAGAAATCGTGTCAACAGTACTGAAAAAGTCTGTTCTGAGAAAAACGCATTTAAAGTTTTGCGTGAAGCCAAACCAGTATGGAGACCGAGTCAGTAAAATCAGTATGCAATGCAGTAATACAAATTTTTGCATAATTAATTATAAATTATTGTTAGTAATGTTAGAATTCTTGTAATAAATCTATTTACAAAGCTAATATTATTTTTTAACTTCCCGTAGGGTAAGTTACAGTAATAGCAAAAAAAAAACCGAAAATGAACATTTTTACGTATCTTAACGTTTCAAAGGTTTCTGAATATTTTGGCATACTTTGTCTGTGTGCGGATACAATTTTTCGTCAACTATTTCGGGAACACCGATCAACCGAATTGAATAATTCAAAATACATTCGATTCGTATTGATAAGGAAACGTGCTAATTTGTTTTTGGCAGAAGCAGGTCTAGCCGTTCCGAAGATACGGGACAAAAAGTGCCAAAAAATTTTTAACAGAACGGAGCGTCCAATTTTGAAAATTCAAAAAACATTTTACTTGTATTGTCAACATGATAAACTGATTAAAGTTTTGGGTGGTCCAGCGATTATGAACTCTCAATAAAAATAAGTTAAAAAATGTCATTTGGCGGTCAAAAATGTTTATTCGACATATTTACATCATATTATCAGATATTTTATAGAGATTATAATAATGTGTTTACACATTTTGTGTAAATTTTGTTGAGTTCTGTACCAAGATTTTTAATTACGGTACGGAAAGTTCCAGCAATTTGCCGGAAGGCACGATGCCATGCACCTCACTAGTTAACAATTCTACTGCACTGTAATGTAACATATTTTTATTGAAAGTAATTAAAAAATATTTTAAATTATGCTGCCTTTATTAAACCATTTTTCATTATAACAAATCATGATTGGAATCTATTTAATTTTTTTCAATTTCAGAATTAATCCAGGATTGGAAATCTCGCACTTTCACAAAAATATCTGGCCTGCCACCTCTGCAGGAGTATAAGTGCATCGATGTAATGCCAACAAGTTCATTTTTGTAAACTAGTGGTCCACCAGAATCACCCTGAAATATTATAAATAGTATTTATTTATGAGTGCTAAGGTAAAAGATAATAAAAGCTTACTAGTATCAAAATATCTAAAAAATATAATGAATGAAAACTAGATTGTTTCCAAATACAATATGTGAAAATGCAGGTTTATTATTTTACTTACAAAGCAAATGCCTCTACCAAATTCCCTGAATGTACATATTTGCGAAGTTGGGTCAATGAATTGAGTCAATTCAAAGCACTTTTCGTCTGTTATTGCAGTGGTTTCTACTTGTTGTAATTCGTTTGGTACTGAGTCCACAGAACCTAATAGACCCCAACCAGTTGCCTTGCAAATTTCACCACCCTTGATGTTTCTCTTGCTAATTTTGATCGGTTGGACTTTGTCACCGAATACAATGTCTTTTGCCACTTTTATTAGACCAATATCAGCATAGTTGACAGTGATTCTTGGTGTATATTTATCATGCATCACAAAACGTTCGACGTCGTAGTATGTACCATCGCCATCTAATGAGTTTGATCCCAAATAGACGGATTTTAAAATGCCACTGAGGAAATATATTAACGGCGTTAAGGGCAAATATGTACATATCATACAGAATTAAGTGTTACATACGCGTTTAGGCAATGTGCAGCTGTTACAATCCAACGTTTGTTCAAGATGGAACCACCACAGAAATGCTCCAGGTTCTGATCTCTCAATGATACTTGGTACGGAGCCGAGCCTTCAGGAGCATCTTCGCCTCCAGCTATTCTAGGATCAATATATTTGGAAGATGCTGAAATCCAAATAATCAATATTAAATTGACGTGCGTAAGTATAAACTAAAGGATGAAACAATATTTTTTTTACCTACTGATCCCAAAGCTAGTAAAGTGAGTAACACCAAATTTGCCATGATTTGGAACAGCTTCGGAATGGTAATAGGTTTTGTATTATCAACACAGTATAGTAAACTGAATTAATTGTTTGCAGCAAGGTGCATTATTTATATGATGAACCAAATAATGAATTGACAAATTTTATATCTATAATTGCTTCAAGAATTATATTTAATTATTTATTGCTTGTTCATGCTCCTATATTTTCTAGAAATATTTAAAAACTACTTTTTGTTTACACATTTCAATTAAATTATCTTATCTCAGTAATATGAAATATTTGACAAAAATAAATGTATTGGCGTTATATTATTGCGGAGGCGTCAAGACAAATAATTTTCTTAATTATTAATTTTTTTTACTTGTAATTAGTTCCAATTTATAAACAATAACATTTGTAATATATATGAATTAATGTCAATACATTGTTTTTGTAAAAAATTATACGAATAAATATTTTCAATTGAACTCAAATACTTTGATAGTCATTGAGTTTTTAAACTATTAGATTATTAGATTTTAATTTTGAATTCTATTTTAATAATTCTTAATCTCTTATTTGGCTAAAATAAGGGACGTGTTTATGTGTATAAAGACATTTTGTTCAGTATTATTCCCTGGTCTACCTTAAAATAGTCTTCTATTTTTAATAAATTGCTAATAATTCATAAAAACTCATTAATATATTAATACTATATATAGTACCGTTGTGGTTGGCCTGTTGAATCCAAAAGGCTAGTTACATTTGAAGAAAAAATTGACAATACAACCTTTTTTATTTTACCCTACAAGAATAAAGAACATAGTAGATTAACGTAGAAATACTAATTAAACTAGTGGTATATGGCATCGTGCCTTAAGGTAAATTGTTGCAACTTTTCGTACCATAACAAAATGCTCGAAAAATACTTAATGTTTTCAAATAGATTTTCATAAATAAATACTGTAACATTGTCTAATATTTATAAGAGTTATATAAACTGAATTGCAAAGTTAAAGTTATTTATTCATAGTACATAAATGAACCTTAGAACTTTAGCAACACTTACATTAAAATCTAAATTATTTTCGATATACAAAAAAAAATTTTTTTTGAAAAAAAAAATTACATTAGCAATTGTTTCATTAACACCAGCCGAAAGTTTTTTGAATCATTCAAATCGGATGCTTAATAAAAGTTTGAAAAATATTGAGATAAATTATAAAATTAATATCTAATAATTTAAAAACTCAATGACTAACATATTTATATTTTCTGAATCGGAATTTTTACTAAAACATAATGTATTGATATTATTTTATCATTCAACTTTAATTTTTTCATTCATTAACTAATTTAGCATAATTATATTATAAATTTAGTTATTGTTTATAAACTCAAACTAATTACAAGTAAAGGAAATTGATAATAATAAAAATTATTAAAAATTAGAAAATCACTTGGCTTTACGCCTCCAAAATATTATAACGCCAATGCATTTATTTTTGTCACATATTTCATACTACCGAGATAAAATAATTTAATTAAAATGTCAATAGAAAGTAGTTTTTAATTATTTCTAGTAAAATATAAGAGCATGACCAAGCAATAAATAATTAAATCTAATTTTTAAGCAATTATAGATATAAAATTTATCAAATCATTATGCGGTTCATCGTATAAATAATGCACCTTGCAGCTGAAATTTAATTCAGTTCTTTACTGTGTTCTCTAACATTACAAAACCTATTACAATTCAAAAGTTGTTCCAAATGATGGCAAATTTTGTGCTATTCACCTTACTAGCCTTAGTATCAGTAGGTAAATATAATATTGTTTAAGCCTTTTGTTTATACTTACGCGCATTTTCATACAATTAAATATTTGGCTTTCAGCATGTTCCAAATATATTGATCCAAGAATCATTGGAGGCGAAGATGCTCCTGAAGGCTCGGCTCCGTATCAAGTTTCACTGAGAAATCGGGACCTAGAGCATTTCTGTGGTGGCTCCATCTTAAACAAACGTTGGATTGTGACGGCTGCACATTGCCTAAAACCGTAAGTAATACTTAATTTAGTATGGTATGACACAATTGCCTTTAACACTGTTAATATATTTTCTCAGTGGCATTTTAAAATCCGTCTATATGGGATCAAACTCATTAGATGGCAATGGTACATACTACGACGTCGAACGTTTTGTGATGCATCATAAATATATACCAAAAATTACTGTCAACTATGCTGATATTGGTCTAATAAAAGTGACAAAAGACATTATATTCAGTGACAAAGTTCAACCAATCAAAATAAGCAAAAAAAATATCAAGGGTGGTGAAATCTGCAAGGCCACTGGTTGGGGTCGATTGGCGGATGGGGCCCCAGTACCAAACGAATTGCAACAAGTGGAAACCACTGCAATAACAAATGAAAAGTGCTACGAATTGTCTCAATTCGTTGAGCCAACTTCGCAAATATGTACATTAAGGGAATTTTTAAGAGGCATTTGCTTTGTAAGTAAAATGGTTTAATACCTGCATTTTCACATAGTGTATTTGAAAACAATCTAGTTTGCAATCATTATATTTTTTATATTAATAAGCAATCATTATACTATAATATTAGTAAGCCTTCATCATCTTTCACCTTAACATTCACATATAAATATTATTAATAATATTTTAGGGTGATTCTGGTGGACCACTGGTTTACAAAGGTGAACTGGTTGGCGTTTCTTCGTTTGTCTTGTACACTTGCGGAGCTGGACGCCCAGATGTTTTTGTTAAAGTGCGTGATTTCCAATCTTGGATCAATTCTGAAATTAGAAAAAAATAAATAGATTTCAATCATGATTTGTTGTAATAAAAAATGGTTAAATAAAGGCAGCATAATTTAAAATAATATTTTAATTACTCTCAACAACATATTACATTACAGCGCAGTAGAATTGTCGAAAACATTTCTCTATTTATTTTTTTATTATCCTAATGATATCGTACAAACCGAATGGTATTTATCTTTACCTTCAAATCATCTACTAAATTGCTGTTTTAAAAAAATATATTTCTTGGATGATATTGACTATAGTTAATAATTAAATGTAGAGTATGGTAGAAGATCGAGAGTTTTTGTTTTAAAGTAAATTTTGCATCTATTTTTTTATATTTGCTGCATTTCCACAAATCTAACAATGCATGTCTTTAACGCTAATGCTCAATTCTTTCGAATGATCCGTTATTGTTGAACATTATCCAATTCTCATTGAATCAATTACAGCAACATTGCACAAATTACTTTTGCTTTTTATTACAACAAGGGAAACAAATGGAACGATATTTATCATCTGTATCTATTTTAGTTGCGTCGGGTAATCAGATGTATAATGTATTTATATTGAATAATATAGCAAAGCTGTACTAAGATTTCTACTATCGTAATTCTACTTTTTACGTTTTGTGGTTAATTGTATCTACTGATGTCACATTGCACACTAAATATGTGTTTTATGTCTCCGTATTGATATCCATAGTTAAGTCATATTGTTTATTAAAATTTATTAAATCAGATCAAATCAAATTTATTATACTGTTAGTTAACTATGAGTTCTTTAAAAAGAAACGTGAGTAGTGCAAACAACGATTTTTTAATCATTTTAAGTATTGAAATGTGGAAAAGTACCAAATACTCAACATTTTTCATTAAACTAAAATAGAAATTTAAAAGTCGATAATATAAACTTTAATCATAGTACCAAATTTTATTAACTTGTGGTTTAGAGTAAGCCACCTGGTCAACATTTTTGAAAAAATGCAACAAAACCTTATTCAAAAAATATTACTAGAATTGCTACCAACGAGACAAATAAATATAAAGGGTGGTCCATCTAGTGGTCCTAGTGATCTTGTGATCTTACGGTTAAGATATTTCTGTAAAAAACATATAAAGTATTATACATCGTTAAAAAGGTCTCAAAATTCTTAGTTCTTTTCCATATATCGCAACTTCAAATTTCGCACGATGTGGCCTACAGGCAAGTTGCTATCGATAAATTCCAATTTTTAAATGGGCCACCTTATAGAATGTATACAATAATAGAACATAAAACACAATAATTTTTAATTGTTTTTAATTCCGATTTTTTAAATAATTTTTGTTAAATTGACCCTCAATTGACCTTCAATTTTGGAATCTGAAAATTTTATGTGCTTGTAAAAAAATGTGTATAAAGATGATAGAATCTACTACTTAATTCTCATTTATGTATTTGTTTGGGAATTTATAATAATTTAATTTATCAATTTTTACATTACTGTAAAAGTATAGAATTCCCTAAAATGCAATTGCATGATGATTCAATTATTATACAATTAATAGACTTTTCAAAATGTAATTAATTATAGATAGTGCAAATTTTGCAATATCATTCTGTAGTTTTAATATATAAGTAGATGTTGATGCTTGTTTTATCTTTATGGTTCTGTAACTATATAATTATCATTACAGTAAAATAATTAATTAGTATGGCTTATATTATATTAGTTACTTTAATTAGTTTGGGATCGTTGGGTAAGTCAATCTTTTCAAAATTTCTGATATATATTAATAAATATACATTAATCACAATTTATTCAATATTTTTATTTCTAGTTTCTTCCGAATACCTTTCGTTTTCTACTGATCCTCGGATAATTGGTGGTGAAGATGCTCCCGAGGGTTCTGCACCATATCAGGTTTCATTAAGAAATTCTGACTTGCAGCATTTTTGTGGTGGTTCCATCCTAAACAAACGATGGATTTTAACAGCAGCACATTGTCTCGAACCGTCAGTATCATTTGCGTCAATAAATTAGTTTCTATTGATCAAGTTATAATTATTACATTTCAGTGGTTTTTTAAATTCTGTATACATGGGTTCGAATTTGTTGGATCGAAAAGGCAGATATTACGATGTAGAAAGATTTGTGATGCACCATAATTATACTGGAAAGATAGTTGCCAATGTCGCTGATATAGGTCTAATAAAACTAGCAGAAGATATAAAATTCAGTGACAAGGTACAACCTGTAAAAATTCATCAAACTCAAATCAAGGGCGGAGAGATTTGCAAAGCTACTGGATGGGGCAGGTTGGGTGCTGATCAGCCTGTACCAAATAAATTACAACAATTGGAGACAATTGCTATTAGTGATGAGAAATGTTATGCAGATACAGGGTTTTTAGAACCTACATCTCAAATATGTGTATTCAGTGCATTTGGAAAAGGAGTTTGTTTTGTAAGTAATTAGTTATTTTCTAATTCAAATTACAAACTTTCCTATGTAAGATAATGTAAGATAAATATTCAGTGATTGTTCTGAAGTTAACATAATTTTGGTTATCTGTGGTGTTGATTTTTCATTATAGAAGTGAAGTAATTGCTGATTAATAAATTCTATAATATTCGTTCACACAGTGGATTATGTTAAACAACGCCTAAAGAAATATTGTTTTCACAATTTCACTCATCATGTAATAATTGTGTTTGAAGAACTTCATGTAATTAAAATTAACATACATTCATTGACTGATTGTATTTTCTGTACTTTTTCGCTGGCGATATAATCTCATTTTTTGTACAGCTGTAATATCTGTCTTGCCTAAAAAATATTTTCCATTTCAATAACTTCAAAGATTTATAGAAGCTACGAATAGTATAGAAATAATTTCTAATCAATAAACTTACATTTAGTGCACGGCGCAAATGTTTAATTTGTTTCATTACTGTCAAGGAACAGGGTAAAATATTATTCTGATTCAGGCATTTTTCATTAAATCAAGATTTGTACTACGATGTAACTTTAAAATGTTTATTTATCTATGCCGATTTCTTTGTTGTTATCAGTACGTATACAACGTTGACGCCGGTACGCGACGACTAATCACAATCCACCCGTATAGAAATCATATCATTGAGAGCGAATGACGAATTATTGGCACTCGACTCTTATCTTATTTTATCTGCCGTAACGCACTTTCGTTGCATTTGTACGGATTTACACCCTAGTCGCGCCTAAAGAAATTTTACTTCAGTAAAAAATACACAATAAATTAAATATAAAATAAAACAAGTAAAAAATAAACTGCGATATAAAAAATAGAACGCTGGTCAAGACGCTTTGAATCTTTTGAAGTACATCCCCAAAGCTCGATGCCGGTTATTTTATCAATTCTAAACTATTTAAAATATATGAAACGTGTTAATAGAAAATCATAAATAATTAATAATAAAAAAACTTAAATTCAGCAATTAAATAATTGAAAGCTTATAACAATTTTAACGTTGATATTGTAGATTGACTTTTATATATGTCTTCACTCTTTGCGCATGGATTGACGCCTTATTTTATATTTTGCAACAAAATGGTTTTGCTAATTGTGATATTTATATAAGCCAACTTTTATATACTTCTTTGTTTATTATTTTAGGGAGATTCTGGTGGTCCATTAGTTTACAAAGGTGAACAAGTAGGAGTTGCATCATTCATCATGATCACTTGTGGTGGTGGCAGACCAGATGTATTTGTTAGAGTACTCGATTATCAGGATTGGATAAATTCATTTATTTCTGGAGATAACTAGTCTTTATGTAAATGAACTATTATAATATATATTTTTTATTCTTATAAAATATATACATTTTATTACGCACACATATAATTTCTATAATACTTTTAAAAATTCTAACAGCCAGACTATATTATTTCATAAATTCACCGGACTACTATATTTCATAAACTAAACCTCAAGTCGTTAAAAGAGATCGCAGACAACACTATGTTTAAATTTGCAGTTTTTTCTTAAATTTTTTTGTTAAGTTTACGTTGTTGTTTTTAACGCCGATTAGAACTTGAGGGTGATCTTCTATATTTAAAATTTGTAGTTTATACATCTCAGTCATTCTCAAACTATATCTAGGAAGAACAGGTTTTCCAAGTGAGCACTTTATTTTTGAACTTATATTTAGTAACACAGATTTTTCAGATAAGATTATGAAATGTAAACATATAATATTTACCTTCAGTATTTGTTTCTATAAACGCATTAGATATATATTTTCAGTTATAATCAATGTATAAATAAAATATATCTCACTATCGATTCAATTTAACATCTAGTAGGTACTATTAGAAAAACATCTACATACTTGTATAATTAAACTTTTGTACAATATGGATTACTTTGTGCTTTTTATTGTATTCAATATTTGGTCAGTAGGTAAGTAATGTTTTATTATAAATTTCTGAATCATAAACTTTGTACATTTTATCATAGTAAATAAAATTAATATTTAAGTATAAAAATATATCAAAAAGAAATAATATATAAAAATATAATAAAAAACTGTAATGATATTGAAACATATAAAAACCAAAAGTTATATTTATATGCACTTTTACTTTTTTACAGATGTTCTTTTTAAATTTTTTTCAACGGGATAATACCTACTACAATATAGTTAGTTTTAATCAACAAATAAACAATTCTGATTTAACAATTTATTAAATAATTTTTGGTATTGGTTATCTAATCTTTTTTACATTATTTCTGTTTTTGTTTTGATTAATATTTATTTCAAGTTTTAATTAAAATATTATTACTCTTATATATGTTCATGTATAAAAATTATTTTTATCCCCAGTTTCTTCAAAACACATCAATTTTTCAATCGATCCAAGAATCGTTGGTGGCGAAGATGCTCCAGAAGGTTCGGCTCCATACCAAGTTTCATTGAGGTATATTACTATGGACCATTTATGTGGTGGTTCCATCATGAACAAAAGATGGATTTTAACAGCGGCACATTGTCTTCAACCGTGAGTAGCATTTTAACAAGTAAAATTCATTATTCCGATTTATTTTAGATGAGATTAACATTTTACAGCGGTGATTTGGATGTTGTATATATGGGTTCAAATTTGCTGGATCGAAAAGGCAGATATTACGATGTGGAACGATATGTGATACATCAAAATTATACGGGAGAACAGGGTACTTTTTATGCTGATTTAGGGTTAATTAAATTAGCAGAAGACATAGAGTTTAGTGATAAGGTGCAAGCTGTAAACATTCACCAAAGTGAAATCCAAGGTGGTGAGGAATGCAAAGCAACTGGATGGGGTCGATTGGGTGCCAGTCAACCAATACCAAATGCGTTGCAACAGTTGGCAACCACTGCTTTAAGTAATGAGAAGTGTAAAGAAGTTACTGGATTCTTCGAGCCCACATCGCAAATATGTGTATTCAAAGGATCTGGAAAAGGAGTTTGTTTTGTAAGTAGATTTGCTTTCGAATCTCGCCAAGAACATTTTAATTGTCTCGCCAAGAACTCTTCAATTCAACTTATTGTGTTATGAAAATTTTGGCATAAGAATATTATTACACTAAAATTCTTAGCAGCCCAAAAAGAAATTTTGTTATGAAATATATGCCTACTTGCAGAACAAGCGGTGAGCTTGAGAAAAAAAAGGAAAATTCTCATTAATCATATAATAAATACAATTTTTTCTAATAAAGTATAATTATTTCAGGGCGATTCTGGTGGACCTTTAGTTTACAATGGAGAACAAGTTGGAGTTGCATCATTTATATTGGGTACTTGTGGTGGTGGTTACCCTGACGTTTTTGTAAGAGTTCTCGACTTCCAAGATTGGATCAACTCTCACATTTCTGAGGATAATTAATTACAGCATAATAAAATATTAATCGTGAATTATTAAATATAATAAGTTTACAATACACTATCCAGTTAACTGTGTTTGGCAAATAAACTCGTCATGGAGAAGTGACATAGTTTAATTATGTATTGACGAATATACTCGTTATGCATATAAATTATTAATATTAAAATATAATATAAATATTAACGTACTTTGTTTAGGTTGCAATTTAAAAAAAACAACTTCTCCAATTTCACTTCATTTTATCTTAAAAACACCTTTTTTTCTCGATTCTAACTGTTTAATGAACTGGCTATAAACTATAAAATATATGTATAACAATTTTACCTAAAATATCCAAATATTCAAGTCAAAATATTGTATTGAGTATTATATAAGAACAATTATTACTAAAAATATTAAGTATTGTAGTATGATATCTTATACATTTTTAAAAGTAACAAAAAATGTTATAATCTTTTCGAAATAATTATAAAAGTACTTCTTAATTGGCTCATTAAAACGTGACAGTCTAAAATCTCAAACAATAATAAAAAAAGTGCAATAATAATTTAAATAAAATAAAAAAATATCATGTTTGGTGTAATATAAGAAATCTTTTCGTTATCTCAAATATAATATATAAAACTCATAAGTTTTTTTATAGAATATAGAAACAATAATCAAAAGAATATATCATATTATCGAGTTCACATTTTGAGTTTAAAATAAAGAAATCGAGACTTCAAATATACTACTTATTTTCTTGATATGATAAATTATTAAACGATTTTTAATATATATTATAACATTGATTAGTTCTTATCAAATAGATAACAATTTAATTATTGAAGTAAAAAGTGCATCAAGTGATGCAATTTTTTTAAATATATTTATCTGAGTAATTGTAGATAATACGTAATAAATTTTATCTGCATTCAATTAAGTACATATTATCTAATTTAGCTATACTATTAATCACAGAAATAAATTTTGCCATTAATTCGATTAATAGAAAGGCACTCGTTTGAGTCGCTAATATTTCTATTATTTTCTTAGAAAAAATGAGGGCATACTTAAGGACCTTTCTTTTAATGTTAGGTAAAGACAAATACCTTAATAATAAATGGAAATTGGTTACTTATTATTCATCATTTGTGAACTTTAAATAAATATCTTTTAGGTTTCTACTTAGCTTCAACAAATGGATTTACTCTTACAAACGGTTCACGAGTAATTGGAGGTACTGATGCAAAAAATGTAGTTCCTTATCAAGTATCCCTTAGAGATGATGAATTAAAACATTTTTGTGGTGGATCAATTTTAAATAAAAGATGGATCGTTACTGCTGCTCATTGTCTTTCAGAGTAAGTTTTAGATACTGTAAAAACTATACAATTTAGATACTTTCAACTACCTAGTTATCATTTGGAAATCTGGTTCATTTTTCTTCCATCAATAGATCTATTTTTATGATTTTACAATAAGCAAGTCGTAAGGAAATGCCCAATTTTTTTGAAAATAAATATGATATAATTATAGTTTCAATTTGAACTGATACTTGCTAAATAAAATTAAAGAAATTAACATAGAGATTTTATATATTATTATAGGATTGTTGGCAAAATACGAGATTAAAACTAAACGATGTTTTATTTTATTAAATTTGATTACTAATGCATACAAACTTCAAATATTTAGTTCCAATGATATTAATTTAAGCTATTTCCAAAATTTTCCAATCCTTTCCAGTGATCGTTTGGATGCTGTTTACGTCGGATCCATTTACCTAAATAGACAAGGCCGTTATTATGATATAAAAAGGTACATTATCCACGAAAAATACAACGACAAATCTCTTCATTCCGACATAGGTCTCATAGAAGTTGAACGTGATATCATTTTTGGAAAATCGGTTCAGCCAATAAAATTACATCAAGGTTACATCAATGGTGGTGAACAACTTTTAGCAACAGGTTGGGGACTTACGAGTAATGATGATGACAGAATACCGCCAAATAATCTTCAGAAAATAGACTTAAAAGCTTTGAGTACTGAAGAGTGTAAAAAACAAGGCGTGATTGCCTCAACTCATTTGTGCACCTTTGTTGGAATCGATGAGGGAGTTTGTAATGTAAGTATGATAAACTTAGGACAAAAATATTTTTTTTGGAAATACTACAAGATTAACTTAATATTCAAATAAGTTTGTTCTTAGTATTCTGGAAATTGTGAATATTATTTCAGGGAGATTCAGGTGGACCTTTGGTCCTCAATGGTGAATTGGTTGGAATAACATCTTTTGCCTTAGGATTTGAATGTGCACAGGGACGACCTGATTACTTTACAAGAGTTTCACTTTTCAAGGAATGGATCGAGAGTCGTATCAAATCTGATGTATAATAATTTAATAGCTATTATGCAATTTTAAATTATATAAATGAATTTTAATTAATAAACTGCTCAAATAAACTGCTTCAGTAATAGCTAATTCGATAATTAATAAGTATGGTAAAAGAATATTTGTGATATAATATTTTATATTATATGGCCTTATTAATTCTATAAACAAATAAATATATTATCGCAGTGTTTATAATAAGATTCTAACAAATGTGAATCATTGTTATTAATAAAATTTACATCGATACCTTGCACTACCACCATCAAATTATTACTAACATTTTGTTATATTAAGAAAAAGTTATTCTATATATTTATATCGTAGCAATCGGTACGGAACCGATAGGAATGTAGACGAAATTTATACTTATTGTCAAAATCTCTATAAAATATGTGATAAATTGATGTGCATATGTATAATGATCACTTTTTACCGCCAAATGGCATTTTTTTTTTATTTTTTGCTAGATCTCCGGAATCGCTAGAATTGCCTTCATGAAAATTTGATCAGGTCTTCATCTTGTTAATAAAAGTAAAATGTTTTTTGTATTATTCAAATCGGACGCTCCGTTCTCTTAAAAACTGAGTTACAGTTTTTGGAACTTTTTGCCCCATATTTTCTGAACGGCTCGACCTGCCTTCGCCAAAAACTAATTTTTTTTTGAATTATTCAAATCGGTTGATCTGTGTTCCTGAAATCGTCGACGAAAATTTGTATCCGCACACACACACACACGCACATACACACACACATACACACACACATACACACACACATACATCAATTTTTTCTAAGGTATACCAAAATGTTCAGAAGGTTTTGAAACGTAAAGATATATAAAAATTTTCATATTCATTTTTTTTGCGATTACTATAACTTGCCCTACACATATCCGTCAATATTAAATGTTGTACATTTATGCCTCACGATTTGGAATTAGAATACTTTTTATTGATATTGTAAATAAAATTAAAGTTAATGTAGAAATTAATCCAAAAATTACTGATTCACGAAGCTACTAATGAACTTTCTTGAATAATACTTTATAAATACTTAATAAAAATGACTTTAATAATAAATAACACTTATTATATTACTAAGCATATCAGAAAGCGATTTATCTAAAATATACTAAAATGTTAAGCAAAAATCCATGGGGTAATAACATCTTTCAAAAATTAAAAATTTTCTGTCAAATTTGTTTTTTTTATCTAATAGTATATTTATCTATTAGTATTTTGTACAAGTTTACACCATAAATATGAAATATTTTCCGTTCTTATTCTTTTTTATGTTTTTGAAGCAAGAAAATTGATATGCATTTTACGCGTTCACATTTTTTATACTTTTTTATATAGACTATAAGAAACTTTCAGATATTTAAAGCACAACATTTCAAAATATTGAAATCGTGTACATTTTTCTAATACGTAGTTATAAAAATGACCCAAAATAATTAATAAATTTAACGCTTTAAAATTTATTTAGTTTACTACAAACTCAGTTAAATTGCATGCCTTATCTAAAAATAACAGTGGCCTTATCTAAAGTTTTCTTATCTAAAAACAATGCACTATGAATTTTCAAAAAACTTATATATCAAAGACTTAATTTGTTTTAAGTAGAAACTTAAGATAAAGAAATCTTATAATAGTGTACATCTATTGATTATCATTCACTTTCAGACTTTGCTCATCACAGTTTAAGTGTAAAGATGCGCGTGTTTGTCGGTTTAATCATCTTTATATCAGCGAGTATGTTTAATATAATTTTATATATAAATTAATATTATTTTGCAGCATAAATAATTAAATATAATTGCAGCATGTGTTTTCGGCCAAAGTACTTCCAATGACCACACCAGAATTGTTGGAGGTGCAGACGCCGCTCCTGGTTCTGCTCCATTTCAAGTATCTTTAAGAGATAAATTCTTGAAACATTTTTGTGGTGGATCGATTCTTAATGAAAAATGGGTTCTTACTGCTGCACATTGTCTAGTCGCGTAAGTAAATACTGATAAATTGAACTAAATTTTAAATAATCTAGTCTTAAAGTAGTCTGCATATACTTATAGGTACATGTACTCATAAAAAGCAGTCTATAGTTTTAATATTAAAATCTACATGCATATACTATTTATTATTATTATTTGCTTCCAGAGGCCGTTTGAGTTCCATCTACGTCGGATCCAACAAACTAAACAAAGGAGGTCGTTACTATGATGTCAAAAAATATATTGTACATGAAGAATATAATCCTAAAACCTTATACGCCGATATTGGGCTCATTGAAGTAGACGAAGAAATCCAATTCAACAATTTAGTAAAACCGATTCCTAGACGAAAAGAAGCATTAGTAGGCAAGGAGTCAGTCACAGCTTTAGGTTGGGGGTTAACGAAGCACGATGGAAAAAATTCACCGAACAATTTGCAAAAAATTGAACTTGAAACTCAAACCAAAGATATGTGCGAACTCAGGGGAGGAGTAGAAGCTAATTCTCACATATGCACTTATACGGGCGAAGGCAAAGGCATTTGTTTCGTAAGTATTGCCTATATATACATACTGTCAACTAATGGGCCGATTCTGCCGCACAACAGACCAATGTTATGGCAAGGCCATGTTACGCTCCAATTTTTATACATCACGCTACTGAATCATACTGAATACTGTCAAAATGTCATTTTGTGTATTTAGGAGTTTTACCCATAAATTGCAACATCATTTGTATGTTAAGAGCTGGGTCAGAAAGACCCTGTTATCTAAGATCTTTTTTTTTTGTCATTTGTGCGGTTTCAAGATTAATTTTTCTATCAGACAACCCGAGAAAAACGCAAGCAACCACATATGGAAAGTTCTTTATAACATGGTCTTGCTATAACATTGTTCTGTTGTGCAGCAGAATCGATCAAAAAGTATCAGGAATTGTTGCATAATACTCAAAATAATTACTGAATCAATTTTTTTTTTATTGCCTTTAAAATAAACTTCAAAGTAATGAACTTATGCTTTCAAAGCACTTTTTAAAAGCCTTTAAAATGATTTCCTTCAACTCCATTGGCAATTTTTACTGGAATCTATAGACGCAAAGCCGTGTCTAACAAGTGGCAATTCAAGTTTTCAATAAAAAATAGTTTGTAGGAGCTTAGATCTACTGATTACGGTGGTTGTCTCTTGATAGTAGATAAGTTTAAAGAATTTGTGAAGAAAGTTCTGCACTCGTAGAATGTGTTGAACATCAAAGTGTCCTATGTCCAATTTGAAATTCGATGTAATTAATTCGTTGGATAAGCTTTCCAACACAATTTTCTTGATTTAGGTGATTTTTTCATTCATTGAATACGTTTAGATCTTTCACGGTGTTGTAAGTACGAACTCTGCCAAGGGCAACCTGCAGCAGCGATATCCATTTTCACTTAAAAATTTAAATCCAAAATATGTTTCGGATAGAAAAAAGCCCGTTTCAAGTACATTCAAAAATATGATTTCAATAAAAATTCAAATAACTTGGAATATGATTATTATTAGAATTAATTTAAATAATTTAGCATAATAATGACAAAAATTATCTTGCAAATTTTAATTAACTTCCCGTAGGGCAAGTTTTAGTCATCGCAAAAAAATCGAAAATGAAATTTTTCATATATCTTTACGTTTCAAAGATTTCTGAATAATTTGGCATACTTTAGAAAAAATTTATGTATGTGTGTGTGTGTGTGCTGATACAAATTTTCGTCGACGATTTTGGGAACACGAATCAACCGATTTGAATAATTTAAAGAACATTCGATTTGTATTGATAAGGAGACTTGCTGATTAATTTTTGGCAAAGGCAGTTCTAGCCATTCCGAAGATACGGGGCAAGAAGTGCCAAAAACGGTAACTCAGTTTTTAAGAGTAACTCAGTCATTTGGCGGTCTAAAATGTTTATTAGACTTATGCACATCAAATTATCAGATATTTTATAGAGATTTTCATAATGTGTTGTAATTTTTTTTAGGTTCCGTACCAAGATTTTTAATTACGGTACGAGAAGTTCTAGCAATTTGCTTTAAAGCACAATGCCATGCACCCCACTAGTTTTAATTTTAATCTTAATTATAAATTTCTAGGGCGATTCAGGAAGTGCTTTGACTTACAAGGATGAGCTCGTAGGTGTGTCCTCTTTCATTTTAATGAAGTGCGCCCACGGTTTTCCTGATTTCTTTGCCAGCGTTGTCTTCTTCAATGATTGGATTGATAATCATATCAAGTAATATATTGAAATAATTTAATAAATGTATACATCTTATTAAATAAAATATGAATCGACAAATTGCAATACTAGGAACAATGATATAGTAGATACTCGATATATATTATCGATATATAAATGTATTATATTTGATTTTTTTTTATTATGTTCTTGAGATACTACTGGGATCAAATAATGATTCTTTTTGCTAAAAGCGTCGTCTATAGTCGAAATTAGCATGACATCCTGTATTTTAGATTGTGTTACAAATACTTGGGCGATATACAGGCTCGTATAGCAGAGTCACTCTTGCGGGAAACAATCAGGTAAAGAAACTTTTGCAGGTAAGAAACTTTCGTAAATTCTTCTTTCAATATTCAACTTGCCAGAATAATCTCCATTCAAAAAACAATTGCATGAACAAAATGTTTTAAGGGAACAATCAAGAAATCTGTGCAGGTTGAAGTAAGTATAATATACAGGGATGCACAACTATTTTATGATGTATTTTGATTTGAGCTTTGCTTCGACGTTAAAATCTCTGACCTTCTTATAAATACTCTCTGGAATGCTTTGATTTAATAATAAAGATTTTGTACTTTATAATTTAATAACTACATTCGTCCGGAAATAATTTAATAATTCATCCTAAAAGTTTAGTTTAGCTTTGTTAGTTATTCTTGATATTTTTTATATTGTATTATTTTTTAATGTTGCTATTTAACAAAAACTACAATTTATAAAAATAATATAAAATGTCTAGACGAGAAAGAAACACAAATTTATAGTTTTTTATTCGATAATTTTCACACATTTTCATGTGCACACAAAAGTCTTGGTTTGAAATAGTGCAATATAACAAAAATTTCAATATATCATTTTTAGAATTATAGATAATAGAATAAAATGGAGATAAATTATGTATATATATATATATATATATATATATATATATATATATAATGTATATATATAATCTAGAAAAATAGGCATATTTTCAAAAAAGCTTTAGTTATATTAATATGTCCTGCTTATCGCAAGAAGAAAATAATTTGCATCCTGATTGTAGCGAATTAATAGTTCAAAAAATAATGATGAACAAGAAAATATTTTTTTAATAAGTATATTTAGTCAATTTTTATATATTAATTTTTAAATTAGTACTTTGTACTATGCACAGCATAGTCAAGATGTGCTAAATTTTAAACATCTATAAATTATAACATGAGCATCATCCTTAGGATAGATTTGTGAAAATCAACAATTGGGCTACAATAGATGAAAAAGTACACTAAAATGAGTATTTCATATTTTTTTTAATTTCACTAAATATTTAATATGAAGTAAATAATTAGCAAATTTCGTTGCTTAAATTTAAATATAATAATTGGCAAGATTTATTTAAAGTAAGTTTTCTACTTTCACCTAAAGTATTTCAATAATCAGATCTATCATAAGAATAAATTAAATTTACATTTTTCTATCTATAATATAGTAAAGTTATTATAATAATATTGACTAGATAAACATTTATATAAAGTATTTAAAAAGGTTTTGGTAAGGCGCTTTGAATAGGAGGGTTTTTGTTTGGTCGGTTAAAGATTTGATTTATAAAATAGTACAACTAAATACCAAGCCATTTTAAATGGCTTTAGTATATTAATCTATAAAGCTGCGGTAATGTAACTGCTATCATGTTTTCAGCCGCCTAATAGTAAAGCAAAAACCCAAGAAGTTATCAGTAAAACTATATTGGATAAAATTTTATAACTCGATCCGCAAGCCTCGATCTCTGATTCCTGAAAAAAAGATGGTTATCTTAATTTATTGTTGATTACAATGCTTATATTATGATATTAAAGAAAATAGTGCTCAATGTAATATAAACTTTTCTGGGACAACTGGTCTTCTAAAGAACTCCTCTTTTTCTTGATTTTGATCTTTTCTCAATTTAGGCTGTTAATCAGTACCATGATTCTAACGGTGCGATTTTAATCATTTTATCCAAGTGGTAAATTATATAAAGTATAATATTCAGAAAAAAGGTGATTTTTTTAGAAATCGAATAAAACCGGTTATTGTGCCACTAGAGGCTTTGTTCTTAAAAATTGTGATGAATTTTTTTTAACTTGTTAAATAAACTTAGTCTTCAGTAATCTAGTAAAAATTATTAATATTATTTTAAAAGTTTATTGCAATTTTGCAAACAAGCCAGGTCAACATAAAAATAAAAATTAATCCAATAAAACTTCATTTATCAATTAATAAGTAAACGAAAATCGAAGAGTCTACTTCTACTTAGAGGCTAAGTAGTTTATAAATATTCTTATGTGTCATAATATTTGAGTTCCCGTTATGTGTCACAGATGGCGCTAGAATTTACTTAATGACGTATGTTAATAACAAATATAAGAAACTTTCAATTGGCGTGCGCTCTATCTAAATGTTTATATTAAGAGCTAACACTATTAGAGATTAATTTTTCATTCATTTGGAAGCATTGGCGCCCTTGGGAGCAAAGAAATTCGAAAATGTCCTTGTTAAAGACCACTCTAATTTATATATATATATATATATATATATATATATATATAAATAAATATTTATATATATAGAAATAAACATCAAATTCTTTGCAACACTTATATAGCGGTCTTCAGAAACCAAACTCAGTCTTCTATTGAAATTTAGGTGGTTGCCTTATTTGGTAAGGAAGTAACAAAATGTTAACATAAATCCAATAAATCTTACCAAAGGATGTTCAGTATAACAGCCAGATAATCTCCTTCTTGATAAACTATTCAGTCCCAATTTATGACATGCTGGATCAGTATCATTGCCATAAGGCACAGGATAAGGAGCTGCACTTAGCTTACGGTAGCAACTTGGATACATCGTGTTGACCACCAGGAGAATTAGATTACTGTGCGGAATTCGCTTCACGTAGAATGGCCTAGAAATAAAAAAACAAAATAATAAAATATTTTAAAGTTTCTGATTAAGTGAAAATCTGATATAACACTGATTGACATCAAGCTGGTCGAGGTTGCGATATAATCCGGAACTAGTGATAGTCTACATTTTCACTAAAAGCTGGTTCAACTTAGTTGAATTTTATCATTTATTATTATTACCTAGAGCAATTTCTCGCGCCTTCGCTGATGTCGTCACCTCTGATGAACTTTTCTTGTTGCAAAAGATAAAGATCGCTCTGCAAATCGCAAGAATATGCTTGACGTTCCCATTTTGGGACAACGGGTCTGCTAAAGAACTCCTCTTCCTCTTGATTTTGACCTTTCCTCAATTTTCTAGGTGCTGGAGTTGGAATTTCGTCGTCGTAGGCATCATAATCAGATGGATCTAAATGAAAAAGAAATATGAATTATGAATATGAATATGAACTATTAATAGTTCAAATTAATTGTGAAAACCTATATTTACTCATAAAGCATCAATTTCTGAATCAGAATCCTCCAAATCAGCAAACATAAACAAGAAATCAGCAAACATGAACATATTGTTTTGGAGATTCTTCAAACTGGTTTAAGTTTGAAGAAGTAAAATATATGTTTGTAAATCATTCAGATAAATTATATGATGTAAGTCACATTAAATAGTTTAAATGCTTTAAAATTATTGTCACTATAAATCATGATAGTTATAAATTTGTATGTGTTATTAATAATAATATTTACCCATAGCCAAAGATTGAACTAAAACTACAGATTCCATCGCCAACCACATGAACTGAGCCAAAATCCATTGAACTGCCATCAACGCAAACTTCATGGGCTGGAAATAACATAATAATATTAAATAATATATATTTAATATTTCAGTTACATAAAGTTTTTTTTCTTATTCTAGGAAATGAGAAGTTTCTATTTGGAAGAAAATTCGATTATCTAATTTATGGCTTTCTGGACGTTTCAAGTAATTCTGAATCGTTTGGCACCATTTTTGAAAAAAATAGATGTGTGTTTGTGTATATGTGAGCCAAAATTTACAATTTGTAGACGCTTTCCCAAAACCTGCTGCACCGATTTTTAAAATTCAAAAGCCTTATTTGATTTAACCAGAAAAGGACTAGCGTTGATTAGTTTTACTAGACGATCGGCTGAGCAGTTTTTTTATATTTTACAGAATGGAGCAAAATTACACATAAAAGTAGTTTTCATTGGCCTCATCCATTAGTATCCAGCGACTTACACTATTCTATATCTATTTTATTCATAGTTCCATTCAACTTACATTCATATATTTTACTATACTTTTTACCTGTTTCTTCCTGCTTCTTATTGTTTTATGCTAATTTATTTTCATATTATACATTTTTTTACTATATGATTCAAAGTTCGGACAAGTATATAATATCCTTCACTTTAATTTTTTATACACACCACCAGGCTTCGATTTGTATATTTTTTTTAGGCGAACCGTTCATGTTACCATTGTGAATATAATTTTGAAAATTTATAACTAAAATAACACGTTATTTATATTAATCATCAAATTTTCAATATTTGCAAAATAGTAGCGCAATTTAAAATTACAAAACTCATTATCTGTCTAATTGTGTCTATAAGAATATAATACTTGATTATGGTACGAGGAAAGACATGGTATTTCCAATCATGTTTTGGATTGTTATCAGTTAACTGATTATTGGAAATACCCTTGTAAATATTTATATTAATGATGATAAGTTGAGGTAATCATTTTTAAGATTGATTAAGACGATTTTTATATATAATCCAATGCTAAATTTAGGCAGATTTTATGTAATTGGATAAATAAATTCCAAGATTATACGAGATTGATCTAGTTCCATGATTATAAATATTTTTATTAAATTTTCAGAGGTACAAATGTATTTACTCAAATTTTTTGTAACGGAATATGATAATTCCATAATCTGATATCATTACTTCTTGATATCAGATGATAGGCTGCTAACAACGCGGAATTTGAACTCGAAACCTAGTGATAGCAATTACTAGTGGCTGAGGCTAAATGCGTAATATAAAATTAATAAATACAATATTTATAGACATAAAATAATAAATCTGGATAGGTGGAACAATTCCATTATGTGTAGGTCAATTTAATGAAATATTTTACACCTCTAAAAAACTCTATATTTTTATCTAATAATAGCTAATGGCACTTTAACATAATTAAAGAGGGTATTGAATGTATTTTTATCAGAAAATATTGATGCGACTTTCTATATTTCACTTAATACTCAATAGTTCGTAGAATTTCATTGAAAAAAAAATTCCGCGACACTGTACTTGATAATCCAAAAGATTTTTATCGAAAAGTATTAAAAATAGATAATAATTGTACAAGTGATTTATCACAAGATGTCAGATAATACAAATCTTTACTAATTCGATACCTATAAAAGGCCAGCAAAATTTAATCTCATTTATTGTAAATTTAAAATTACAAACATGAAGTTCTTAGTAGTGTTGTTCGCAGTTTTATACACTTGCTCGGGTAAATATTTTAAGTCATTTAATATATCACTAATGCCTATATAGAACGAGGCCATTTTAATAAAATAAAATAAAAAAAATATGACTAACATAGTAGATTAGATTTTAATTTTTATTAAATTTTAGCTTTGCCCCAGCTCAAGATTGAGGAGCGCATTGTTGGCGGAACACCAGCTGCCGATGGCGCTTCACCATACATGGTCTCTTTGAGACAACCAACCACCAACCGCCATTTCTGCGGAGGTTCTTTGTTGTCCAAGAGATGGGTATTGACTGCTGCTCACTGTGTCACCGTGTAAGTAAATAATTATAAATGAGTTTTTATAGTTTTTTCCAATTTGGTGTCTTGGTTTCTTATGTCAACGATTGTTTCTTTCTATTTTAGTGGAGGACATAACCAAGTCGTAGCTGTTGTAGGAACCAACAAATTGAGCTCCGGAGGCACCACATACAAAGCTGAACGTGTTGTTGTACACGAACGTTATGGCAATGCTGATATTGACAACGATCTTGCCTTGATCAAGGTAAGGATAATCGAAATTTACCAATAGATTGCATCATATCCATACGGAAGACCAATAAAATAGACCAATGTTATGGCAAGGCAATGTTACGTTCCAGTCTTCATCCAAAATGCTACTAAATACTGTCAAAATGTCATGTGTTTGCTGTACAATCAAGGGTTTAACACATAAAATGCAACTTCAAAAGCAAACAATATCTCTAAGATCCACTTATGATAACATCGTTTCTATCTAAAATATCTGATTGCAAAGCAACTTTGGATTTTGACAGTTTTTAGTTCGACTTTATATGAAAACAGCTACATAATATAGCCTTGCAACAACATTCTATTTTACGGCAGAATTGGCCTCCTAACCAATAAGAAATAAGATTTAGGTACACAAATAACATTTATCTGCTTCCACTTCTAGTTGACCCAAGATGTCGTATTCACTGACCGCGTACAGCCCGTCACCGTATCCAGAACTACAGTCAAAGGAGGAGAAACCTTGAGAATCACTGGATGGGGTTACACCAACCACGGTGGCCCAGTTCTGCCCGACAGTTTGCAAGAACTTCATGTAACCGCCCAGACCCCAAGCACATGCCAAAAATACACACCAGCCGCCACACAATTGTGCACTTTCTTGAAGACTGGACAAGGAGTTTGCAACGTAAGATAAAAATTTCATGAAATTAATATGAAGGCGTCAAACGATAGTTAATTTTTGAGCTTAACCCTCCGTCGGTCGAATTTTTATTTACCTTCGAACGATCGGAGTAGTCTGCCGGGTCCACACATTTTTTCGTCCTGATTTTTTCATTGATCCACAGCTAATGAAATTTTAGGAATAGTCCAGAAATTTCAAGTCGATAGGATTACTAAAAGTTTTTTTTTAAATTAAAGTCGAAAAAAGTCTGGCCCGACCACTCCGACTGACGGAGGGTTAAAATAGTAATAATCACAGTAACCTTGATCTTTGGCTGTGGAAAGGAATTATTTCCTTCCAAGTACATCAGTAATTTTGCTACTTGTACTTGGTCATATTTTAAAATTTTCTGATAAATTATTGTAATATATCATAAGTTTGGTATGATTACAAAAAAGAAAGAACCATTTTGAAATACTGAACAAGGACATATTGTTTTGGAATTATGTAGAAGAACTTCCCAAATGTATATTGGATAAATAACATTTCATATAAAAATGATTCCCACCAAAGCAAAGAAAATATTCTTATTTAATCCAGTATTTTGAACCCGATATGGTTTAATTCCTAATAACAAATGCTACCACAAAATTAGTCTCGGGATCGATCCCTACCTCGGCCCGCTTGCTATCAAGTAGTAAGAATTCAAATTTCTATTGACCTCTTGCAAAAAATTCTGATTTAGTATGAACGATAGCAAAAACATCTCTTGGAAGTAGTTCCGATTGCTATTAAAAAAAACAGTCTTTTAATTTTTTCCTCCTCATTTTCAGGGTGATTCTGGAAGCGCCTTGTTGCTCAATGGTCAACAAGTCGGTATTGCATCCTACATCTTGAACCAATGTGCAGGAGGATTCCCAGACTACTTCACAAGATTGTCTTTGTACAACGACTGGATCGACAACGTTATGAGACAATACTAAATTTAATATTTAATAAATTAACTTGAAATCTTTTTTGAGAACCTAGTAAATTACAAACCAATATTTTTAATAATTTAAATAAATTATATTAAACAGATACATTTATTGTTTTCATACATGTATATCCAAATAGACCAGAAGCATAATTTTTGTAACTAATTATTAACAACTATAACAAAAATTTGTTAAAAAACAATAAAAATAAATAACCGTCAATTTTAAAAACAAATAATGCATATCAAATGCAATTCCTGCAATTCAATGGGTAAGGGCTGTTTTCACTTGGAGAAGGTATATCACCTATCTATATATCCAAGTGACAACCGATGTCACTACTGATTTAACGATATAAAGAATTATTTGCTAACAGTATTTTATTTATCATTTCAGTTCAGTGACATGTTCTAAAATTTACCTACTTGGGTGCAATCGGTATTATCGACTCAGAACCCAAAGACTTATTGCTTGACATAGATCAGTTTTATTACTAAGCATCAAAATTCTATCTAATTTATGGGTTTTTCAAAATGATAATTATTATGTTTTGTTAAGCAGATTAAAAATTGAAAATTCTATGAGCTGTTGTGATAGTTAACTAGCTAGTTGATACTTAACTAGCTACGCAGGTTTTTTTTATAGATGGCAACCCAAGCAGTTGTCACATCTCCATGTGATCATTTTTGGTTATTATATTTTCTGAAATAGTGATGAATTTTGTTTGAGGAAGCAATGTCGGATAATGGCTATATTAACTCAAAAAAACATTACTATATATATTTCAATGTAAAAACCAATGCCACTACTGATGGACGTCAAGCTGTTAGAGCAAATCTGGGAATTATGATTAAGGGCGAGTCCAAGATTGTCAAATGATACGATAAAAGACTGCATGCTTTAACTGAGGTAATGCCATTATCAGTTTAAAATTATATTTGTAAATATTATATATAAATATCAATTACATAAGAGACCTCCCAAGTGATAATTCCACAGAATAGTTGGTCATGTATAGTGTCAATATCAGAATAGTGGGGCATATGTATGGTGTCAATATCATCAGCCTAGTCGATAAGAAAATTTCATGTAAATCATAAACAACGCAAACGTACAATAGCAAGGTTGTTCAGTTGGTGAATATTTGTTTTTGCAATAAATTTGCACAATGACTTTCATAGTATTTAGTGGAAGTGAGATAATCAATAAATCGTAACATTTAATAATAAAAACGAAGTGATTAAATTAAATTATTATTATGTTATAATTATATTAATGTTATTTTGTAGTGAAGTGAAAAATTAAACATAGTATTTAATTTATTAAAAACATAACACATATTATATTATTCAGAACCTAAAACTTCCATGGCCCCATTTGTATACACAAATCTCCATTGTTCTACAGTATGAATTATATATTTTTCATTTATTAAATCAGAACTAAGCACGTATTTTATAGGATTTCATGATTAAGTAAGTTAATATTTTTACAAACACAATTTTAGAAGACAACCCAACGGTTTTCTTTTCAAATCGTGTTTACACAATTACAAATTACAATTATATTTTTAATTTGTCGCAGCAATGCCCCAAAAAGTAATTTAAATTTTGTGAAATATAATGTGATACGATTGTTTATTACTATTTATTGAAAATGATTAATTTTGAAGAAGTATTTATTCAGATGATCTACGTAAGAAGGAAAAATATAAAATACTTCGATGTCACACTTTATAATAAAATATAAAATTTAATAAAATGGTAATAATTACGTTACAAGGTGATTAGCACTGTTTTTTTTCAAAATACCGTTAAAAATAATTCCATCGGCATGCAAATTTGTGTCATTTAACATTTCGCTAATTGCATTATAAATTAACAAAATATTTTAGGCAAATAATCTGTAAAATGTAATATTTGTCAATAACATTTGTTTAAAAATGCTTGGTACGTTTATGATATATATAATCGATTTATATATATATATATATATATATATATATATATATTATATAGATATATATTTAGAAATTTTTATTTATTATCGACGTTTCGGATCTAAGTACGCTCCATCTTCAGGACATCTATCGAATGAATTATGAAAGAAAAATTATCTTGAATAGATATAAACAAACAATATATTTGATGAAAAATTAATTTTTTTTTATTCTCACTTTTTGAAAAATCTTTTAGCGATCATTTTAATATTTCTTTAAATTTATTTATTTACTCTACAAGCCGTCAGTATAATGATATTATAATAATGCTCATTTAAATGATTTACAAATTTTATATAATTTAAGTATTTTATTATTTATTCATTTCTCAATTAATTTATTTACTTTGAACTTATTTATATTTAGTTAATTTTAATTATTTTCAAATATAAGTAGTTTGTTTTATGGAGATTAGTATTTATATATAATGCAAGTTTTTTATGATTGTTATATAATATTCATTCGTTATTTTTATTTTTATTATTTTTTATATAATTTCCTCTGTTTTATAATTTTATTAATTTTATAAAAATCTACTATTTTTTTTGAGTATAATGTTTGTTTATACCTTATCAAAATCATGTTTCTTGACAGATGTCCTGAAGATGGAACATACCTAGTTCCGAAACGTCGATATTAAATTGAAACCTCTTAAAAAAGTTTTTAGGGTTTTTATTACAATTTGATTCTTTTATATATAAATATGAATACTCTTGAATTTGATGTTGATATAATATATTTTGAGTTTTTAAAATTGGGCGTTACATTATTAAAAAAGCATTTAGAAATTTATTAATCCATACGTTTCAGATAGCATCTTAGCCTTCATTCAGTGGCAATCAATATAAAATTTTGTTAGCAATCCTAATTTTATACAAAATATATTGATGGCCACTGAATGAAGGCTAAGATGCTAGCCGAAACGTATGGATTTTAAATAAATTTCTAAAAACTCTCACACTATTTTTTATTGATGTAACGCTCAACTTTTAAACTCAAATAATATATATATATATATATATATATATATATATATATATATATGTGTGTGTGTGTGTGATCATAAAAGCATTTATCACGCAAGATAATCATTATAGCTAAATGTACTCTAGTTTATTAAAAATACCGTTATTATTATAATGGAAAATTTCATATGAATATACCGCAATCATCAATTAAAATTAATCAATTAATATACATACACATATATATATATATACACATATGTAATTAGCACAGTACTGTTTGTATGAATATTAGTGAATCAATCACCATGACAATTATTTATATATATGGCTTAAATAATCACATAATACTATGAGCCCCCATTGAACAAAAATGTCGTAATCTATAATAGATAAAAAAATTTGAATATAAGATAACAACAACTGTGTTAGGAGATAATACGAATTTTGATGGATATAAACACCATGCTTAGTTCTGATTAGATACACATTTGCTTGGTTTCTATGCATATCCGATTAGGTTTGCTTTAAAATTGTGCAAAATGGTGAAATATATTTTACTAACATGTTTTATTTTTGGATACTGCTCAGGTAAGTTTTTTATATTTTTAGTAACGAATATGTAATGTTTACTTTGATTGTTTACTGATAATTTGAACCGGTTTGTGAGAAACATTTGGATGAATAGAGTTGCCTCAAATTAGACGTTAGACGTAGTTTTATGGTTAATGGTAAACTTTAACTAGTGGTGCATGGCATCGTGTCTTGAGCAAATTGCTCGAACTTCCCATGCCAAAAAATAAAATTTTCAGACCAGATTCAATTTTTTTAGAACTATGAAAAAAATCGATTTTTGGGATTTTTTAAATTTTTCAAAAAAAATTACCTTTTTGAAAAATTTCATTTTTTTATACTTTGAAATATTTTGGAAATTTTGAACTATTTGTCATAGCTATTAGCTGCGTAGAATCGAACGCTCGGTTCTCTCAAAATTTGAATTATTCTTATTGGAACTTTTTGCCCTGTATCTTTGGAACGGCTGCACCTGCCTTTGCCAAAAACTAATTAACATGTCAATCATTCAAATTGGTTGATCTGTGTTCTCGAAATCGTCGACGAAAAATTGTATCCGCACATACATACACCCACACATTAATCCATTTTTATTATTTTAGAAGCCTTTAAGACGTAAAGATATATAAAAATGTTTATTTTCGATTTTTTTTTCATGAACACTATAACTTACCCTACGGGAAGTTAAAAATGCAAAATTGAAATATATTTTTAATTTCCCAAAGAGGTTTCTTTTTTGTCAAAAATTTCAATATTCTTTTGCATGTTTCTCGATGTCATTTTAAATTATTGACCAGAAATTGGAAAAATTTGTGAGTGTCCATGTGAGTCCAAATTTGACCGAGGCGGTTGGCTGAGCCGTTTCTTTTGAATCAGCAGTAAGTCCAAAAATTTTAACTCACGTTTTCACTGAAAATTTTTAATTAATTTTAAAAGTTTTAACATCCTTCCAAAGAATTAAGTTGGTAATCGTTTTGTTCAGATTTTGATAAGAATAAGCCAAGCCGTTTCTTCGTAATTAATTGTTGCAGTTTTTTTTCTGACGATTTTGATGAAGCTGTGTGCGCTGACAAAGTTCACGTTCTTGAACAATATCCTAAAACATTATAGGCCTACAAAAAGTGGTATATTTATAGAAAATAATCAACGTGTAGAATGATGAAATGTGTCAAAATTTCAAATTTATTTAATAAACATTTTAAAAGCTGATAAAACTTAATTGTTATTAATTAATGTCGGTTATCAACACATATCAGATGTTTTTGCAACTTGCTTTGATGCATACAAATACTTCTATAGTTATTATAAGCATACCTGTTTTGATGATTAATTAACGATTGTTTAGGTATGGTGAACCCTTTTGTTTGCTATTTTTTATTAAAACATATTTGAAATATTTATTAGCGAAAAATTGTGTACTAGTCTAAACAAAACTACGTATTTTAGGCAATCTCTTTCAATTTCAATTATTTAATGGATGAATTTTTAATACTGAGTGCATGCCTGAGTATCTAAACGTCTGATTAGTTATGAATTTTCGCACATCTTTATATAAAACCGTCAAAAACTATTATTTATAACAATATTAATTAATTTTTTTTATTTCAGCTCTGCCAAAAATAGGCACACGTAATGACGATCGAATTGTAGGAGGAGACATCGCCAAAGAGGGATCTGCTCCATATATGGCTTCTTTGGTTGCAACTCCATTAGGAAGTCATTTTTGCGGTGCATCCATTGTTAACGAAAGATGGATTTTAACAGCTGCTCATTGCGCCAAAATGTAACAAAAATACAAAGCACCAAGAATTTTTATCGAAATACAAATTTTAATTAAATTTTTCTGCTTTCAGGTTTAGCCACCATTTTGTGAAAGTGGTTGTTGGTACCAACCATCTCTTTGAGGAAGATGGTCAAGCATACTTTGCCGAAGAGATTATTCCACATGAAAATTACACTGCTACTGGTATACATGATCATGATATTGCACTTATCAAGGTAGACTCATACAAGCATGAATACATTTTATATAAGTTTGACCAAATAAAAATTTCTTTCCATAGGTATCAGAAAACATAGTTTTTAATGACAAGGTGCAACCCATAAAACCGTTGAAAGATTACATCAAAGGTGGAGAAGAATTGAAAACTACAGGTTGGGGATTAATGGACAGCAATAACATCATACCTCCAAATGATTTGCAAGAATTAACTGTGAAAGCTTTATCGAACGAAGAATGTACAAATCTTTCGGATTTCACCCCGACTACACAACTGTGTGCTTTTAGGAACAAAGGTCAAGGTATTTGTATGGTAAGTAAAATTCGACTCCATCATATATAGAAATATTTGCTTATATATAAATTATTAGTTTATATCAAATAAATATTTTTAGGGCGATTCTGGATCTCCACTTGTATATAACAATCAACAAGTTGGAGTATCTTCTTTCATATTAAACGATTGCGGAGCAGGTTTACCAGACTTTTACACCAGAGTTTCTTTGTATTATACTTGGATTGAAAACCATACTCAATTGTAAACCTCAAACGTAAATACTTAACAAAAAGGGCTTTTAAAAACAAGAATTTTAATGTTAATAATTCGAATACCGAATGTTTTTATATCTGTGATTACTTATTAGTTGAATAAATACATCAGTGGCATTTGTGATAATTCGAATTGTTTGTACTTACATTCAGTCGTTGTAGTTCTCCATCACTGGAAATCATTACATCTCTAAAGCACAGCCCTTGTAGATCGAAAACCACTACTTTTTCGAAGATATTTTCATCTACCATAGCTTCCATAACTGCTCCTTCGACTTCTCCAAAGAATCTTCCCGTATCATTCATGTTTTCAGATATTACTACATAACCATTATGGTCGATAACATAGCAATCTTGTTCCTCGGAATCGCAGCTTTTTAGACACCCATTACACTACGGAGTCATAATCACAAAAAGATCACAAAAATTCTACAAAAATTTGTGGGAATATATGATAATAATTTATTCTACTTACACTGACGTTAGATGTGATATTCATAAATCGTTCATACAAATGCGAATGCGAGAACTGGAAACCGACTACCGAGGCCGGTGCTTCTAATCCTCCATCTCTAGGAAATATAGCATGACTTGCTGTCACCAGGAAACTTCCAGTAGCATCACGATCGTCTTCCTTAACTTCATCAGTTTCTAAAGGAACTGAGTAAACGAATGCTTCTTGGTCAATTCTGTGCTGCAAAACTGCACTTCTGTACCAGGTTTCATCAATCGCTTTGGTATGATAATCACCAAATTCGCTAGAAATAACACATTTAAAAAAATCTATAATAGTGATTTTTGAACATTGATTTAACTTGGAATATTGATATATTCCGAAATTTCATGTAGCCACGCCGAAAAAGGAAACATATTTTTATCTACATTTTCAAATAGTAATATTGCATAATTTTTATTTTTAACTAGATGACACGACAGACATTGTCCTGTACTTATGTTTACAATTGTAAAGTTCCATTTTTTTTAATAACCTATACTGATATTTACCAATTAGTTAAAAATTATTGTTTTTTTACACTACAGTCTATACCAAAATGTATATACATTCACCCATATGGATCTTAAATGTACATCTGTTTTAAATAAAATGATGAGTATTTGCCTTTTTGAAAAACATTTTTTTTCTTATAATTAGTTCTTTTATCGATATCCGACTTTATTTTAAAAAAAATGAAATTACACCACAGAGAGGAATGTCATCCCCCCGGGAAATAGCAAATGATTCTAAATTATTTTCGCATCAGAACTTGAGTAATATAAACCTAATTTCAAAATTTTATACAAATTGTAGCACAGTAAAAAAATTCACACCCAAAACGCTCCATTGACTTGAGTAAATATTCCGTATGCAAATACTAACGTTTGTATGTGAAAAAGAAAAGGGCTGTTTTTAGGGTTTTCCCGGCAATTATTCCATTTTGCTCGCCTTAAGAACCATCCTTGGACTTCAACGAACATTTTAAAAGAAGAATTGCCCAAATTGGTCCAGGCGTTGTTGAGTTATGCGCTTACCAATACATTTCGCGATTCATTTTTATATTATAGATATAGGGTTTAATTGTCAAACTGGAACCAACAAGTATTTCTCAATATCGAATTTTGATATATTTTGGCTACTTACTTATCGGTGTCATTAGTATCTTCTCCATAAATAAATTGCCATCGAGTTAGCCCGCTCATTGTTGCAACAAATCGTAAAGACACATTATATCTTAAAAATAAATTCTGTTCTTCCTTATCCTTATATACCCATGCTGTTATGGATTTGTAACTGGGGTCAGTTACCTGAAAAAGTGATAAAACAATTAAAATAATATCACACAGCATGTGATAATTTTGAAAATTTATCGTATCATAAAAAAGTTACTGCTTTTAATAATAAAAAAATGGAAATCTACCTTGGCATCAAAAACCAACAGCTGCACAAGTTCCTTATTGCAATAGTAATCGTCATCGTCATGAGTTTTGCGTCCACAATTTACTAGAAATTAAATAAAAATATAGTCAAATATCAATTAAAAATTTTCATATTATTTTGATGTGCGTAAATAATCTCTTGCATTATAATTGATTATTGTTGTCTACATTAATCATTGATTCAAGCGTGTTACTTGGTCTGTTAATTATCATAGTTTTACTCTAGAGATAAGTTTTTGAAGTATTAACTAAATATATGGTTAAAAATGATTTTTGTTCTAAAAACTTTGATCTACTTGAAAGAATATAATAAAACCTAGTTTTGTTAAATACAACAGTTACAGTAAAATCGTCACATGTTACATTTTTTTTAATGAAACTAGTATCAGGAATTGTGTATTATTTTTTATCTTACCTTCGCCTTCTTCTTCATCTTTCAATCCATTCCATTCAGGAACTCCTTTGGTGTCACCTTCTTCAGGATCATATTGTTGAGTCCAACGCCAACCTGGTTGGTTCATCTTAATCAAGAAGTGCTTTAGTTCCTCCTCGGGCGTATTAAATTCATGGCCTTCTAGGTAATGATATTTGCAGTATACCCTAAATAAATTATTACATTAATGATACTGTTAACCCTTTCCAATCAGATTGATGATATACCAATATGTTAAGTCAATATTACCATTCTGGATGCACCTTCCAGTTATCATTTGAAAAGAAGTCACTTATATTCACACCTAAGTGCTGATTTCTTTTTATTTCGTCTCCAACCTGCACAATTTAATTTATACCAATATAACCAATCCAATACAGAAATTAACGTAAACCAATTATTAAGTTAAATTTAAGTGTTACCTTTATCCAGGTGTTTCCATAATCGTGTGGAAGAACTAGACCAAGTGAAAATGGAGTATTAGGCAATGGAGCATAATAATAATCCTGTCTTTCTCTGGATACTCGGCGAATATCATCGTAATGGAATCTCACTGGAACATCCAATATTTTGCTGTCTCTGTTCAATACCAAATCATCCCGTAACTGGAATAATAATGTGAGTAAAAAACCTAATTTATATTTAACGCATCCTAAAAAGAAGGTGCAAACAGTTGTCTAAATAAAAAGTTTCTTGAGAAATATTCTGAAGCAGAATAACAAATTTAAATGTGGAAACATATTGTCATTTTCTTGGCATTGTTTCTTAAAAGAGACCATGATGTTGCATTATAAGTTAACAATTATTTGTACCTTTAAAATTTCCGGACCAAGAACTCTGGCTGGTAGATCATCATCTATCATTTCTATCTCAGTGAAGTCTATGCTGTTGTAGTTTTCTTTCAATATGCCTTTGTACTGAAAATGTTAGAAAAATTAAATAATAACTGCAAGATAAATTTTGGGTTAGTTTATAAAAAAACTTACTACTGGTCTTAGATCAGGATGCAACAGTAAATAGCCATTGTTACTAATGACGAAAGAATATCCATTCACGCCCAACTAAAAAATATGAGATTTTTAGATGATATGTTCCAATAGATATTGAAATTACCTTATTATAATTATAATTACCTTGTATGGTAATGTCAGTTTATCAATATCCTCTATAGGGACATCTGTGCCTGCGACTCCTAATAAATTAGCAGCTCTTGTAATATTATCCCGGTTACTTTTTTTGTCGTAAGCCGGAATGGCAACAGATGTTAACAACCGATATTCTTGATACAAGACATCATCTTTATTGGCATCGTTATGCTGAAAATAATTAATAGAAGTAAATATATATTTACGAATAGCTCTTTGACTAGTTGGCAAAATTGTTCAGATGGTTTGTCCCGACTGGAATGACAAAAATGTAACTGAGTTATTTTCACAAGCAAGGAGACGTTGACATATTTTTAGGACTGACTTCTGAACTATTTTGATTAACTTTGTATTCAGAATCATTTAATTTTAACTATGTGTTCATTTGTATTTGTTGTGTAATGCACTGTATAATTTTCTACAAAAACTGCCTTATCTTGTTTGAAAAAATTGAATTGAATTGAATAGAAATATTGGAGGTTTTGTGTTGTTTCGTGTTAATTTGGACAATGTCATGATGGTTTTAATCAACTTAACATTCTACGACATATACCAATATATTAAAAAATAGACAACACAATGTACGATATATATTAAAATTAGAAAATTTGGTATGAAAATCATGCAGTTTCTAAAATCGAGCTGTGATATCAAAGGTATTAACATGCTCTGTGTTGGAAACAATCATCCATCATACAAATTAGATACACTTAAAGACTATATAAAAGTAGGATTTTGTTCTATTTATTTGATATATCGACAGTTTTAGTACACGAGTTATCCTAATATTATCACAATAACCAATGCATTTTGTTGATAAAAATGATTTCTAAAACATACTTGGCATTACAAGTTTGTAAAGACACTAATAGACAAGAAAGTTCTTTTCATTCCATTTTGAAACGAGTATGCTGGAAAAATATCACGAAGCTCCTAAGGTTTAAGCTAAATTATTTATTATTTTTTTGAGCTTGGCATGATGTTTTTCCAATAATAAGTCATTTTCCGTGCACATCTATATATAGTTCATATAGTTAATATAAAATACACAGTTCCACGTTCAGATATCGATATAAAAACATAATATGAATCCAAATGCTTCGGTTTCACCTTTGATTGTTTTCGAACATAATATTTGTCAGCAATACGATGTCTATATTTTAAACTACTTTTGGAGAGATGAGATGCACTCAGGGTCTTGAGGTCTTGTAGCCACGACGAAATCTTAGGGTCCTGGGTTTATTATTGTGGGATATATACAATAATTGAGGGTTAAGTGCATAATATAGTCACAAACATACTTGGGTGGGTTTAATAAAACTTGTTAAAATTATGTACAAATTTATATATTAGTTTTATACATAGCAACTACTGTGCAAGTAAAAAATACGTTTGAGGATGTAATTAATTTGCTAAGGTAAAGGCATGAGGTAAAATTTAGCAAAGTTATTGTTTTATTCAATTGATAAACTAGAGATCTTTCTTAACCAGACAATGATTGTTATTAGGATTTTCAAAAATTGATTTTTATTTCTATCAATAAGCAAAGTATATGTAAACTAAATTATTTTAAAATTAATGTTACCGTTATATCGGCGTATGCATGAGTCCATGTCACAGGATGATCCTCGTTTTGCAATACTAAAGGTCGGGCTATTACTTGAATATACTTAATTACTTGTTGTTGGACTCCATTCATTGAAGTGATGTGGACATAATAACCTAGAAAAAAAAAATGGAATTATAATAATACAGGTCCAAAAAAAAAAAAAAAAATTGCTTGTATTGGGTGTGCGGCATATGTTTTCCATAGGTCTTACCGCTGAACATGAATCTGGTGTCAAAATTGGGGGTCAAATTGCATAAAACTTTTAAAATTTTTGAAAATTTCTACAAGATATTTAAAATCTTATAATTTTTGTCGTTTCCTAGCTCTTTCTACATTAGGGGGCGTCCATGAATCACGTGAGGTTTATATAATATTATATATTATAGGGGGAGAGGGGGTTTGACAAAAAATCACAAAATATCACGTGGGAGAGGGAGGGGTATAATAAGATATCACGTGTATATATTTTTAACTATTCTTTTTAAAAAAGTACAAACATTTTCAAAATAAAATAAAAAATTGATCATCACCATGTATCGCAAAGGGGGAGAGGCGTCCAAAAATCCTTAAAAACTTGCACACGTGATTAATGCACACCTCCTAAAATGACTATTGAGTATTCACTAGAATACAGCAGTATTCTGCCAACACATTTTCAGATATTCATTTTGCACAAATAGTTGCAGATTACCCAGGGCCAATGAAGAAGAAATATGTTTGCAAATCACTGCTGAATTTTACAAAAAGTAACAATAGATCATTTAATAGAACTCTAGTCATTTATTTATCATTTATTTATTGATGAAAATGAAACCGATAGAACCAGGAAACGATAGAAATTATGAGATTTTGCTTATGCATTACTAGATTGGAGATTTTGTGGTATCTTTGATTTTTTTTTAATTTTTTGTCATTTGACCCCCAATTTTGACTTTGAATTAGTTTTCAGCCTTTTTGTGAACCTGTATAATATTTGATATTGGGCTTCCCTCAAATTTACTTACCTCTGTTCATACATGCCATAAGTTGGATTTCTTTGACTTTGGTGACCTCTCTTCCAATGAGATACGTGAACACTCTGACAGGAATTCTGGTGCCATTATCTAACCAATTGTATTTTTCAAAAACCTCTGTTATATTTCCTGGTACACCATCGGTTACCAGCATGATGGCTTGGTTACAACCCTCAGTGGCACTGCATTTACGTTTTTCACGATACTAAAGAAAAAGTCGAAATTTTACTTTATTTGGAAACAATTATTTAAATTTATGATATTTATGATATCTTACTACTAATTGGCATTAATGTCAAAAAAAATACTATTTTCTTTTGAGGAAGAAAATCATTTCAAAACATGAACTGTGAAAATTGTATTATTCATATCAATGAGTAAAGAAATATAATATATAGTTTCTAACTTACTGATTCTAGCAGTTGAAAGGCTTTCGTAAACGCATTCGACACATTAGCATTTCCCTCCGGAACAATCTCAGCAATTGCTTCATTAAAAATCCTGATGTTTTCAGGAGTAGCCTGAACCAGAGTATCATTGAAACAAGGTACGACGCCATCTATGCCCTTTGAAAAGTTATAGATATTCACAAAATCGTTATTAGAGAATGTATCTAATATGCTTTTGACTGTGAGTCGAGCAATGTGGTTCCTAAATCCATACATGGAACCAGAATTGTCCAATAAAATAACTACATCTTTGGAACAAGTTGCAGCTTCGATGTACCAAGAACGGGAACGACAATCGAAGAGATCTACCGGTTTATTTTTCTGACCATCTTTCCACTGCATTGCTAAAATGATAAAATATTCATTATTTACTCGATTTCGACGAACTTATATATGAGAGTAAACTAATTGACAATTTTGGACAATATTTTTAACTTCCCGCAGGGCAAATTAGAGTAATCGCAAAAAAATCGAAACTGAAAATTTTTATATAACTTTAGGTTTCAGAGGTTTCTGAAAAAAATGGATGTATGTGTGTGTGCGGATACAAATGTTTGTCGACGATTTCGGGAACACGGTTCAACTAATTTCAATTATCCAAAAAACATTCGATTCTTATTAATAAGGAAACGTGCTGATTAGTTTTTGACATAGGCAGGTCTAGCCGGTTTGAAAATACGGGGCAAAAAGTACACAAATCAAAGCAACATATAGTACACAAATACCATTAATTTTATTGAAAAAGTAGAAAAAGCTAAATTTAATAATAAATGGTAAATGGTAGAAAGTAAAACATCTTAAGTTTATAATGAATGGCTTTAATGGAATGATTTTGGCGTACAACCGAACATTGTTATGGGAAGGCTATGTTATGTAGAACTTTCCATACTAAATCATTCTAAATATTGTCAAAAGCCATGTTGTTGCTATGCAGTCAGGCCTTCTTCTCAGGTTGTCAGATAGAAAAACTAACCTAGAAACTGCACAAATGTCAAAACAGCGATCTTAGATAACAGAGTCTTTCTCACCCAGCTTCATAATATACAAGTGACGTTGCAGTTTATGTATAAAACCTGAATGCATAGCAAAAACTTGACATTTAGGCAGTATTTAGTATAATTCAGTAGCATAATATATGCAAGTTGCAGCGAATCATCGCCTTGCCATAGCATTGGTCTGTTGTGCAGAAGATTCGGTCCATAAAAGTAGGTAATATCTCTAAACTTGCCTGGATATTGTCTCATAATTCCTGTAGATGTTCCAAAATACTGCCAAGATAGAGCAGGATCAGCATTATAATTCTGTACAAATACTTCATCCAATGCTTCAGACCATTGTATAGTTTCTGCTACTACTGGCCCTAAAATATCATTTCCATAAAAAATATTGTTTTAATAAATAAATGGGTACTTAATGGATTCTTAACATATCAATAAATCTGAGGTGTGATTGGTTATGAATTCTAGAGCATTACTCTATGGCAATTAAGGTAACGACCAGAGTTAGTTGATTTTTGGTACTAATTTGTTATTAATTTATTATCTGTAGTACGAATTAATTTTATATATAATCAAATTATCGAGTTCATTGTCTCAAATTTAACTGTAAATTTAAATTTTTTATTGACGTTATTAAATTGATATTTATATCTATACGACATCAATAACTTTAAAATATTAATAGTACATTTTTTACCTCTATCATAAACATTTGTGGGTACATGTACTGCACTATAATTGGTATTTACAGATATATTATAAAAATGAGTATCAGGATTTAGAGCCATTGGTCGATACAACCATTCATTTTGACTCACACCATCAGGCAGTTCCATTTCTTCTTCTCCTTCAATCTAAAAATTAACTAATCTAATAAAATACATATTTATCAATAAATATTAATTACTTATTGATTATATTTTACATTACTTGTGAGTATTTTGAAGAATAATATGTAAAGTTTTGTTCGGTATTGTTGGATTCAAATTGTTCTGCAACATTTTCAGCAGTAGTAAGGATGCACTGAAAATGATTAATGTTAATGACAATGTAACATAATATTAAATGCATTTTATAAAAAAAACTCACTTTTACGGCTTCCATTTTTCGTAACAACATCCTACCAACATTTTCGACAATCGAATCCATAAGACTGTCTCCATCTTTATGTTCGACACGTGCATTTAATTCTTTATATCTCTAAAAGTTTACATTGGAAATTAATATCAAATTTTAACAAATAATATTTTAAAATATATGAAAGGACATTTATTCAAACCTTTTTAATTTCAGGTGCTTTAGTAACTCTTTGTCCCAATTCCCACAACTCGTCTCCTAATGTTTCTGCCCATTTTGCAATTCTAAAATGATTAAAAAATATAATTGTTATTTATACCAAAATTAACATGACTTAATCTTTAACAATGATTTTTCCAATATAATAGTTTATTAAAAGAAAATTAAGTAAAGCATTTTTAAATGAAGTAGTAGCCTGAAGGAAATATAAATACTATTGCGTTTTTTATTTCAGTAATGGTACAAGTTTTTTTGGGTACGATAATATATTTATTTTTGAACTACCAACATTTTATTTTTTAAATTATTAATTGTATGATTTTTTCTTGTACTGACAGTAACTTTATTAATTTTTCTTGTGTAAATTTCAACATATAAATTAACCGAACAATTCAATTTCAATAAATTAGAACAATTACTATACTTCATAGCTTTAATATTGAAATTACATGAAGCATCAAATGAACCATTTTAATTAAAGGTTGTTTAGATTGATTTGATGATTGGATATGAGCCAGATATACACTTTTTAAATAAAATCGGCATTAATTTCAGATATAGTGTTAATGGCTGGCTTAATACATTGTATGGGCTGTTTTTAAATATGTTCAAATGCCATTTGAATAAATTTTCACCATTAACTTTGATCAAACCAGATTTTTTTATACAATACAAAATATAACAAAACATCATTTAATGAAGTTGATATTTGAATTCACTTATTTAAATACTACATTTTCTAGAAACTGTTTTCCACATCAATTTAAAAAAATTAGAATCATAGGAAAAAAATACAAATCAAGTAAAATATATGTAAGGTGTGGAACGTGTTTATTAGAAGCTTATTAAAATTTATTATATTTATTCACGTTTAATTAATCTTTTTTAAATATTTTAATATTTGTTTTTTCTTTTCATTATCTTGCTTAAAAAGGGCCAATGATAATGAAAATACTATGCTTTAATGTGGTATCATCTTAATTATTTGAAAAAGCAATATCAATTAATAAATTTATTTGGGCATTCAAAAATAAAATAAAAATTTAAACAAAAATTTAGAAAAAATTGGAACAAAAATATAAATCAAGTAAAAATATCTGTAGGGTGTGGAACTTATTTATTAAAAGCTTAAAATATATTAAAAGTGTTGCTTTAATATATGTATTTTTGTTTAATTAATATTTTTTAAATATATTAATAACCAAAAAATAATTATTATCATGCTCAAAAGGGCCAACAAACAATAATATTAACGATGTTTTAATGTTGTATCGACTTAATTATTTAAACAAGCAATACAGATTAATAAATTTATTGGGGAATTCAAATATAAAATAAAACTTTGAATAAAAATTTATAAAAATAGAAAAAAAAAAATAAAAATCAATTAAAAATATCTGTAAGGTGTTGAACGTATTGATTGGAAGCTTAAAAAATAACTATTTTTTTTTCAATATATTTATTTTTGTTTAATTAATCTTTTTTATTTATATTAATAATCATGAAATTTATTTCATTATCATGCTTAAAAAAGGCCAATGATATTGAAAATACTGTGCTTTATTATGGTATCATCTTAATTATTTGAAAAATATTGGAGCATTCAAAAATAAATTAAAAATTCGGAGAAAAATTTAGAAAATTATGAAAAATACTTATCAAGTAAAAATATCTGTAAGGCAGAAGCTTAAAGACATATTTATTTTTTTAATAAATTTATTTTCGTTTAATTAATATTATTTATATTAATTGATGTTTATGATTTTTTTCATTATCATGCTTTAAAAGGCCAATAATATTGAAAATTCTGAATTTCAATAATATATTATCTTAATTGTATATATAAGCAATATAAATTAATTCAAGATTAAAATCAAATAAAAAATAAAATAAAACTCAAATTAAAAAATAAAATAAAAAATGTATTAAATGTGAATAAATTGATATACTTATATTATTACATTCTGGCTACATTATAATTTATGGTCACAATTGAAATAAATTAGCATTATAAAATATACAATTAACACTCAACAATAGTGGTCATGCAGATTATTTTGACTTTTCTTAAATATCCTAATATTTTAGCACTCTATTAATTTATTATACCAAATAAATTCATTTCATATTTTTTATTATAATTTACTCACATTTCTCCCTCCTGCGAAGCCTTTCCTGATGGAAACCAACCACCGGACATCAGCAAAATTACACAAATTAACATCCATTTTGGCAATGAATAACCGTTGAATTTTTTACCCATTACTTTTCACAATCGTTCGAAGAATTCATAGCTTCTTTGAACATTATTTAAATATCACGATTTATTTTATATCACAACACATTTAGCACATGGTGTCATTATTTATTTGTTCAGAACTGTTACACAATTAGTCCTTCTCATAATGAGAGCTGTAGCTCACTAAACCTTACTGGATCACGATCGTGCCTGATTTTTTTTGCTACAAGCTATTATGTTGGCTGGGACGTATCTGGGATCAGATGCTGAGAATCTAATAAGAATAATAGTAAATAATAATAATAGTAAATTTGATTATAATTAAATAATAATAAGTTGTGGGACGAAAGCAAATTTGTGTGGGTCAAATGCGTGTTTAATATAATTTTTTTTAAAATAATACGGAATACTGTACAAAACTAAAAATAGTACCCGTTGCACGCGATTCAGTTATAGTAGGTACAACTTTTTTTTAAATTGTACACACTTTATCAATTAAAACATAGTAAAATATTTTGCTAACTTACAAATATTGCAATATGTTTTTTTAAAAGCAAAGTATTATTTTTAACATATACTTCTAATCCACTTTTAAGGATATAGCTACTTAGATTAAAATACAATTGAATTATAATATAAATTTATTATAATTCAATATGCTAATAAAAAACGGCTATAGGTTTTGTGATATTTTTCTTTCTTATGTCATGCTGTTCATATATTTATATTACGAATTTCCTTTTTTATAGAAATAATCATTTTGTGTTCTCAATATAATTTTAATAATTATTGTATCTAATATCAAGAGCTAACATGATTTCAATAGGTAAAAAATATTTATAAAAAAAGGGCAAAACTGTATATTAAAGCTTGACACTATTATTGAATAGATAATAAATTCACTATTAAACTAGAGAAATAGTAATTTTAGTGTATAATATAGACATTTTATAATATAATTTTAGTATTGTGTAAATGGTTATAGAAAAAAAGGTAATTTTTGTGTATAATATTGATGTTTTAAATATAGTATTGCCTAAATTGCAAATAGGATTTTTAGTTTGTCATTGGCATAATATTATAATTTTATTGTTATTTTAATCCTATATTGTAATCATTTCATTCTTGGTATCGCCAAGTCATAGATTAGGTCTAAAAACTCATTAGAATGTAAATCTATACAATACCTTTTGCTGTCCATACACAACATTAATAGATCACCAATATTGAATATAAATTATTAAACTTGACAAAAAATCATTATGAACTATTTTTTCTATGAATTTTGCTTCCTAAAATAAAATCGCTGGCCAATTTTCGTATAACATACCAAATATACCTTCTTATCATATTATCCTCAAGAAATTATAAGAAAAGATTATTGAAAAATTATTAGAAAATATCTATGATATATATTACATGCCCACGATAAATATAATTAATATTAAAGATGCTTAAAAATACTATTCAGAGACCCAAATAGATGCAAGTTAGTGATTTCCACATTAAATGTTTTTTCTGGTTTAATTTTCAATCGACGTACTGTGATAATTCTGAATTAGTTGATAACAGTACTGGGACCTTAAATAACACTTATAGATCCCGACAGATGTACGTGAAATCGTGCAAAGTTTAACAAAAAATCATTAAATAAAAATTATTCTATAATAGTTTTTTAAGGATACGAGTCGCCGTTGGTTTTGAGCGAGAAGGCCAGGAAAAACAAACAATATATGACATCGCGATATCAAACTCTAAAAATTCGATAGATTACAAAATATATACTTTGTATTCTATTGTATTTTTAGAATTTTATGCATTCATAAAATTATTCAAGGCAAAGAAAAAAAAAGTTACATTAAAATATATTAATTTTCAAAATCTCCGATAATGGTAAGAAAATTGTGCATTTCTTAAAGCCAATTTTATTTGTTGTCCATTATAAAACACGAAATCACGAACAAAATCGTATGTATGGACACAGTGGTTTTATTTAAAAACTGGCCAGTTTTATTAACATTTCCGCGCCTATATAATATGAAGAAGGCCATAATCACAATCCTATCAGATGTTGAGCGTCATTGTCACAATTTTGTCGCAGTAATCAGTTCAAACGTATTTCCGGACTTCAAATTTTATTTTGATGGTGTTTTTCTCATATTTTTGAAGACATATTTATAGAACGTTATAATATAATTAAATAAATAATTATCTTTTAAAAAATACAACATCATGTCATTTTGTCTGTACCTCCCCTATCAAGTAAAAAAATATAACTATTTATTTTTAGTAAATAATTTTACTATAATTTAATTTCGATAAAATTCTTTTCTATCCGTGGGCTACCTCCCTGTGTTCAAGATGCGTGTGCGTTATATTTTTAGCGCCGCGACGCTCAAAGCTGAACCGGGAAAATGAGAAAAGTGGGGCCCATGGAATCTACTATACTCTATACGTGACGAGGGAATTAATCTGATGCATAATTGATTTTCAATACCTTTTTCACAGTTTACAAAGAAATTGGTTTTTGTTGCACTATATATAACTCAATTTATTTTAGACTCAATTCAAAATAGAAATTTATTCTAAGCAATTCGTTTGCTACCATCTTATTTATTGCTCACTTACAGCGTTTTCTGTAGGTGAAATGTAATGGTTTATTATTCAATGCGATAATTATAATAAATAGTAAACTGTCCGAAGGCAGGACCACAAATTAATGATTCCTTTTATCTCTCTTGTTTATTATTCCTGTTACCATTATTCATTTTTTATTTCCTACTACTGCTTCCATGTGCTTCCTGGTCTTGCGCTTTGACTTTCAGTTTCCTTTTATTTCTCTACTTATTGCTCAATGAATCGATACGCATTTTTTATACTAACTTGCTTTACCAATTCAAAATGCAACATTTTCTTTAAGATTATTTAGGAGTCCGATCGGGTCAAAAAATTACATCCCATTATTCTATGAGGATATTATCACTTTGCATTAAAAAAATAGTGGTTCAGATTTATTCCACAAATGGGTTGCTTATGATTCTTAACTATTAAAATATTATTTATCATTTCTAAATTTTGTATTAAAAACTTTTCATTGAATTTTAACATTAAGACAGTTGAAAAGAGAATGGCTCAAATATCTGCCTACACAAGCTATTCGTAATTGTTATTTATTAATATTATTTTTATTTTTTTGTTTTATTGTAAATAGCAAACTATTTATTTATTATTGCTACTATTATTTTGAATTTTTATTTATTTATTTATTCAATGCTTTTTTCCTTCTTTTTTCGTTAATTATGAATTTAAATACTTTCACTTTCGATTTATAAATTATGAAGTAATCTGGTTTAATTATAGTCTATATTTATTCTATAAATTAGTCTATGCATGATTCTATAAACTATATAAACATTAAAAAATGTTTATCACTCATTAATATTTTTCGTATATAAAATTTTCTGGTTAATATGGGAAATCCCGGACTTACCTACTAATCAGTTTTGTTTATCTTCTTTAATATGCTTAGCCTTCTATTAAATAATTATAGACACTTATTAATCAGGCTTCATATATAAAATTTCATAGTATGTGATAGGTTAGATTTATTCTATAAATTGATTTATTTCTGATTTCACCTTGGCTAATAAAATAATCACTTAAACAATCATCAGATTTGTTTATAAAATTTCATATTAAAAATATGATCGACCAATTTTATTCCATTCGATTTTATCGCCTCATGATTCTGTATTTATTATTAGAATTATATATTATTATATCACCATAATACAATTTCACATTCAAAATCTAGTAGTCTAAATTTATTCCCTAAGTTTCTTTTTAATATGGTTCATCATAACTACTGAAATAATATTTATTATTTACTAATAAGTTTCGTTCAAAAAATGTCACATTAAAATAGTAATTGTATAAATTTTATCTACACAATAGTTTATAGTTATGATTTTATAATACTCTAATGATAATTATATTTATTACTTACTGTTTCTGATCATAAAATTTTGAACTCAAATTTACCTATTTTAATGATTAGTTAATATTTTTGGTCGATCTATCAATCATTGAATTAAAAGTAGTATATTAGAACTTCTTGTTTATTCAAATTGATCTTCTAAATTATATATTTTTCATAGTGCAGTGCAACATCACGTACTTTTAGGGTGTATCAATATTATCGATTGATACTGATCTTCAACAATTCATATAAATTTTTTACTAGAAGTTATTAACAGATTTTTAACAGTCTTTAATATAACTGTATTTGTCGGTATATTTATGTTTGAACCATTTATCAACCGAAACATTTATACCAAGACGATGAAGACTTCATCTAAAAACTAGGCGAATTAATATATCATTTTAAACGTATCTCATACCAACACCGGTTTATATTTACAACAGCAATATTTATATATTCAGTTCATATATTCCTATATGAACCGCGTTTTTACCAAAATATTTATAAAAATTTAGTTTTTTCTTATATAATAAACTTGCTCCTACGATAAAATCAATCAGTGAGTTATATCAACTAATTAGAAATCGTTATTATAAAAAATGTAAATATAAATAAATATAAAAATTTATTTAAATTCATACAAATATAATTTAAACACAATAACAGCCTAAGTATAAAAATACCAAATTCATTGTCAAAATATACATATATACGCTATCTCCTGTTAATTTTTACTGCCACCATACATTTTGGTCTTTATCAAAAGGTCTTTAATTTGTAGTTTTCATTACTTTAGATGAAGACATTAATTCCAACTTTGACATACTGTGTTCGTTTTCTAATGAGGCTAATCTTGCCGCAGGATTTCGGAAAATGGTGCATTTGGCATTTGACCATAATTGTTCAGTTGCTCGAGCATCTCCCCAGAGACCAAGATCATAGGACCACCAGACAATCGTGCTGGCGACAGCGAGTCTCATCTAATGTTAAATTAAATTTTACAAACAAAATTAAATAAATAAAACTCATAGGGACCGATTCTGCCGCATAACAGAAAAATGTTATGACAAGGCCATGTTATGAAGAATTTTCCTTTCTAAATATTGACAAAAGCCATGTGGATGCTGTGCAGTCAGGCGTATTTCTCAA